GGGCAGCCTGCTCTGCCCAGGCCAGCCGGGAGCATGGCCCTGGCCCCCTGCCAGCCCCGGCAGAAAACTGCTAGTGCGGGAGGCAGCGGGCGCCCAGCCCTGCCACGAAGGCAGCATTATCACGCCAGTCAGGGCCCAAAGGCCTTTCCCCAGGCTGCCCTTTGCCCTTTTTCTCTCTGAAAACCTTCCTGATTCGGCCTTCCTTTGGGCTGGTGGCCAGCCACCCACCACCCCGCCTCACCCTGCATAAATGCCCCCACCCCCAGCAGCGCCCCCGTGGATGGCCGAGGGATTCGTCACCACCGTCCCCCAATGCAAAGGAATTTTTCTTGAGCCTCAAGAAACAATAGGTGTCCACTGCAGAAAATTTAGAAAATGATGAAAAATAAAAACAAAAAGAAGACCCCGCAATCCAGCTGTCAAGAGGCAACCTCTCTTAACTTCTTGTCACACACCCTTCTGATGCTTTTTCCTCCACATTCACATACTTTTTAAAGGGATTCACACCACACATTCCATGATGCAGCGGCATCTTCACACCGTCGGGAGCCAGAAGTCAGCATCCTTACCCTCCTGGTCGAGATGGATTTTGTTTCACAAATCAGTCACCTGGTGTGGGGCATTTTGGCGTCTCCAGTTTCCCACTGTTACATACTTCACTGGGATAAACGATCTTGCTTCCCCTAATCTTCAGGTATCTGAATTCTTTCCCCCTTGGGATAAATTCCCACAAATAGATTCTGGCTCAAAACGCTACACTTTTGGCACTTGTAGCCGCGAGGATTTTCCAGTTTACTCCTGGTTAGGGACAAAACTTAGAAGCTGAGAGAAGATGTGTATTCTGTTTTACAAAGGAGTGGTGGAATGGCTGCCTGCCCACCCCCGCCCTCCCTGCTGCAGCTACCCGGGCAGGAGGAACCAGAACATACTTATATGTCAAGCCTGGGTACATCTCCTCGGCAGCCCGGTGAGCACATGAAATTGGAAATCCAGGTGAGCAAGGCCCCTCCTGGCTGCCCCAAGCCAAGCACTGCTGTGCCCAGGGCTGGGGGCCCCCAGAGCAAAGAGGAGGCCTGCTCACAGCCTGGCTCCCCTGCACACAGGACACACCGGCTCCAGATTGCTCAGATCAGAGCTACCTTGTCGGAGTCTATTCTAGAAGTGGGTGGGGATATGGGAGCCCCATCCTTTCAGCCAGAGGGTCAAAGAATGCCACCCCCATCTTCATCCCCATCACCACCCTCTGAGCTGGGCAGACCTGGGGTTGAAAGAGAGCTGTGGCCTGGGGAAGCTTTTTCCCCTGCTGTGCCTCAGTTTCCCCATAGTGGGTTGAATAGTGGCCCCCCAAAGATGTGCTCACTCACATCCTCAGAATGGGAGCGTATTTGGAATAGGGGTCTTTGCAGATTAAAGGTGCTCACAGTGAGAACGTCCTGGATTAGGGTGGGCCTCGATCCAGTGGGACTGTCTTGTGAAAGCAGAGGACACAGGGACACACAGGGAGAAGGCCGCGTGGAGACAGAGGCAGATACTGAGACTGGGGTGCTGCAGCCACAGCCAAGCAGCATCTAGAACCCCCAGAAGCAGGAAGAGGCAGGAAGGACCCTCCCCTGGAGCCTCAGAGGGAGCACGGCCCTGCCCACATCTGGATTTTAGACTTCTGGCCTCCAGAGCTGACATGAATTTGTGCTGTTTTAAGCCACCCGGTTCGTGGTCACTCGTTTCAGCAGCCACAGGAAACTCATACAAGTTAGACACAGGAAATGCTTCATAGAGATCATTGTAAGGCTTAGAACAAACTACACGAAGGTTTTTGGCCGCTTAGCTGCAGCCCGTTCACTCAGCAGACACTCGCGGGCTGCGGACAGGGCTTGGCTCTGCGGCTGGATCCTGCCAGGCGGCCAGCAGGCAGGGGTGCCAGAGACAGGGCTCCGTGGGGCAGCAGGGGATGGAGGGCCCAGGCTAGTCTCCTGAGCAAGGCTAGGTGAGCCAGGGTCGAGGGGCAGGGAAGTGAGGGGAGGGAAGTGAGTGAGCAAAGGCCTGGCAGTCAAAAGGCATGGGGCCTCTGGGCAGAGGGAAGTCATTGGGTGGGTCTGGAATGACAGGCGCAGGGAGGGGGCTGGGCAAGAGAGGTCAGAGGGTAGGCAAGGCCACATCACGGGGAGTCAAGGAGCTTTGGAGTCACGGGCACCACAGATACCCCAAGCAGTGGCCTCCACAGCCTGGCACTGAGGCCACCTGGGCACAGTGGGTGGGGAGGCTGGGTATGGCAGGTAGCATTCAGGTGGGAGGCAGTGGGGCTGAGCCCCGACCCCAAAGGGGTACAGGCAAGATACCACCACTGGTTTGCAGCAACTGGGGTCTGCTTGCACGGAGCAGAATAGAGGCCTCCTGTAAGCCAGGGGGACTCCCCGTCTGTGCCTCAGTTTCCCCAGGCCTCCCTGCCCCAGAGCTGCAGCTTGACCACTATAGACATGCAAAGTACAGCTATGGACTCTCCCACCTGCTGGATACTTCCTGGGCAGCCATTTTTTGAGGGGCCATTTGCTGAGGGCCCTCCCAGTGTCAGCCTGGCCCCAACTCCCTGCCGCTCCAGCCCCCACCCTGGTCCTGGGGTAGCCAAGGGAGAACAGAAGGCCCCAGGGGCACCCTGCAGTGAGGGGCAGAGCAGAGTGGGGCTCCCAGCTGGGTTCAGTGGCCCTGGCCCTATCCCAGCCCCACTGTACCCAGCCTGTGAGCCGCCCTTTGAGCCGTAAAATTAGTATTCACTCCAGGTCCCAGCTCTGAAAGCTCTTGTTCCCTCCAGAGAACAGCCAGGGTGGCTGGCAGGGGGCTGTCAGTGCAAAGATGCACCCCCAGCATGCACACACTGAGGCCTCCCCCACTGCCCGGGCTGCCCTCGGGCTCAGCCAAGGCTGGGGGAGGGGCACCCAGAGGGCTGTCTGCCCATCCCTTTGTCTGTCTGTCTCCCTTTCTGAGTTTGTATCTGACCGTATGTCCCTCCCTCTGTCACCATCTCCCTCCTCCACCAGACTCTCCGACCCTCGAGGTTTTGTGTAGTCAGAAGACCAGGGAGTGTCCCTGCCCATCACTTCTCAAACAGAGAGGATGCTTGGCCAGGCAGGTGGGCAACCTGCTGGAGCAAATGGGTTCTCTGGGCAGGGGCCCTGCGCCCTGCGACATCTGTCCCTGTGGGAGCCCGTCTGGGCTCTGGGCTGCCTGTACATGTCCCCACAGCCCCTGCAACTGGACCCTGACAATGATAATCATAGGCCCTGTCCCCTGTGCCTGTGGCAGGGTGCATGCTGGCCGGGCCATGCGGGCTTGGGGCTTTCCAGGCCTGAGCAACATCCTGCCCCACGGCATCACTTCCAGCCCCTGATGGGACTGATCACGAGGAGGGCGTCCATGGGCAGGAATGTAAACAGTCGGTGCTCAGGGCCCTTGAAGAGTTCTGACTCCGAGGCAACCCTGCCCAGAACACATTAATCGGCTCATTTTTGGTTGACACGGGGTCTTGAAGGCTCTGGTTTGGTGGTCAGGACACAGGGTGCCCACGGAGGCCACGCCAGGGGGCTGGGATGTGCTTGCCCAGGAGAAACCCACTGCCCTGACTTCATCCTACTTCCAGTGTGCCCAGCCCCGGCTCAGCCAGCAGGGGAGGCTCAGGGAGGTCTAGAGTCCACCGGGGACACGCACCAGGGAGCAGACCTAGCCACGCCTGGGGACTCCCAGCTTTGCGGCCAGCACCAGGCCTCAGACCCACGGTCCAGCAGCTTCATCTAGGCATCGGCACCTCGGGGGTGGAGGGCACCCCATGGGAGGAGGTCCTGGGGGGGAGCCAGGGTCAGCCTGAGGCAGCCGGAACCTTCCTGAGCTGTCACCTCCAGCTGTCACACACCAGAGCTGGGGTGTGGAAACTAGGATGGCCCCTCCTCGAGGACCCCCCTTTCTGGGCACCGGCAGCCATCCAGACTCACGGGAGGCCCTGGGCTCCCGCAGGTGCTGGGGGACGTCCTGCAGGGGCTGGGCTCTTTTTGTGACCCTCTGGCCCAGGAGGCCTGGGGGAGCCCGCCAGGGTGGCAACTCCGGCAGTGCCCTAGAGCGCCTATCATGGGAGCTCCGGAGCCGCGGCCTGGTGAACCCAAACCTTCTCCCCCAGGACGTCCCCCCAAGCAAACTGCATCCCCTCCCAGCTCCTCCCCCAGGCACCCACTGTCTCCACAACATCTCTTGGGTGCCCCCAGCCCAGGCCAGCTGCCCCCAACAGCCTCCACAAACCCCCTCCCGAGCCACGCGGCCCCAACAGTGAGCCTTTCAAAGACCACATCTTGCCGTGGCCAGCTGTCAGCCTCGTCCCCTCAGCTCTGTCCTTGCCACACACCCCCGCTTCCCACCCCCAGACTCCCTCTGCACAGAAGGCGCCCTCCTCTCCTGGCACACGCACCCCTGCCTGGGTTTCCTAAGCTGGGGTGAAGCCCCCACACCCCTCTCAGTGCCACCCGAGCTCTGGCCACGGCCCCTTCGCTACCGGGGCGTCCACCGAGGCCTCTCTCCTTCCTCCCCGACCTCTGGGACTCTGCCTGGCTGTGCCTCCCACCCGGAGCACATCCCTCCCCTCTGCCCGGACGACCCCCTCCACGCGGGCTCCAGGCCCCAGCTGCCTCTGCCCAGAAGCCTCCCTGACACTCACAAGTACCTGCACAGGGCTTCTTCGCAGGCGGGGGACAGGGGCAGCGGCCACATCCGTCTCAGTCCCTCAGCACTTGCTGCCGGGTCCGGCCCACGGGGAGCTCGCGACCCACAGCGCAGTGCCGCCGGCACAGCCCCAGCCCCGCACACACCCAGCACCTGCCCACGCAGCCATCACGCTGAGCACACACCCCACACAGCTCCCTCCGTCTGCGCACACACGCACGCACGTGCCCGCCAGGGCACCCTGAACTACCCCCGTGCCCACACGCATGCGCCCCGGCCTCCCCCACGCCCGAGTCACACACAGCTGGGCAGCCTGCTCACGCCGGCCCGCGACGTCCCTCCAACAGGCACCGAGCTCGATAAGGCGAGCTGCTGTTGGCCGCCTCTGCCTGCCAGCATGTGCCAAGCGGTTTCCATGGTGACACGTCTTGGCTCTGACAGGAACCGAGGAGTGTGAGGAAGAGGGTCCCCGTGGAGGCGGCGAGGCGGGAGGTCTTTGTGTCCTCGGGCTGCCGGCAGACACGGGGGCTCCCAAAAGTGGAGACACCCCCACCCCACACTAGGCTTGCACCCTCAGAAGGAGGCTCTGGGACTGTCCCTCTTGGCTGCCTGGTATAGGAGCTGACTTAGGTCAGTCAGTCAATCAACAAACCTTCTGTGAGAGCCACCATGTGCTGGCAGCTGGGGCTGCAAACTGCCTAGGATGTGGGCTCACAAAGGGCTCACTATTGAGTCGTGGGGCTGAACTTTTCCCCCACAACCCCACTGCAGGCCCATCCCAGGCAGGCCAGTCAGGGGCTCCCTGAGACCAAGGCCCAACCACCTACCTGCTGGGGGGCTGGATCTGTCAGAACCCGGGTTTCGGCACCACAGGTGTCAGGGCGGGAGTCTGCCCGCGGCTCTCATGTGCTCTTGGCCACAGAACGACCAGACACACCCGAGCATGGAGTGCAGACTAGGATCCTGTCCTCTGACTCCTGTCTTGGAAAAAATCACCAAGGAGGCCAAGACAACGGAGTCACCCCAGGCAGGAGCAGCTTTCTCCAGGAGTGGAGAGAGACAGACTGACTCACTTCCTTTCCTCTTGGATTGTTTCCTTATATTAGCCCAGCCTGGAGGTGGGCTCTCAGGAGGTGCGGGATGTTAGCAAATGATCAACAGGTGTCCTCAAAATGCCATCTGCATATACGTGCTCCCTCTAAGAAAGGCCACCTGGCAGGCTGAACTGCAATGCAGATTCAAGCTAAGGGCATATTAATTGCCCTTAGGTTACTCCAGGTCACTTTCCAAATCTATCATGCCTGGGCTGGGGAGTTCCCAGATGGATGATAAGGCAGCTCCTCCTTCCCCGAGTGGAGCGACTGCTCGGGACAGGGCTGGGGCTGGGGCAGCACCAAACGGAGTGCCCGCCTTATCCTTTCCCCAGGCGGAGCAACTGCTCCAAACAGCACCAAAGCAGGGAGCCCTGTCCCGAGAAGAGCTGGAGATGCTACCTGTCTCCTTAACAGATCCACAGGGCGAGGTAGATCTGTGTGTGATCTCTGGAGTAGATCAATTGCAAAAGTGACTCAAATCTCCCCACATCATGCCCTTTGCCGTGTGACTTTGCCCAGCTCCTGCTAGAGGTGGACTCTATTTCCCCATCCTTGAACCTGAGCCTGTCTTATGTCTTGCTTTGGCCAATAAAAGGTGATGGAAGTGACACTGTGCCGGTTCTGAGCTTAGGCCTCGCAGGCCACACACACTCTGCCTGCTCCCTTTTGGACGCCTTTCTGCCAGAGCATGAGAGCAAGCCCGGGCTGGTCTGCCAGAATGTGGAAGAACATGTGGAGCCTGTGTCACCCTAGCTGAGGCCATCCTAGACCAGCAGTCCCCAGCCAAGCTGACCACAGATGCATGAGTGAGCCCAGCCAGGGTTTGCCAAGCCCAGCCCAGGACAGCAGTGCTACCTGGTTGGCCCACAGACCCTCAGAAATAAGAAAGTGTTGCAAACTCATCTGTTTGGGGTTGTTACACAGCACTAGCTGACTCACACACCCTCTTTCTAGGGCCCTGGCCAACAGCCACCTAAGCTCATATAGTTGGCACATGCTGGATGCCCTGAAAGTTCCCCAGGGGTTCTGAGAACCAGGTGGAGGGTGGGGTGGGGGAAAAGCTTGTGGGAGGGGGTTTCCCACTTCAAATCTATGGCAGGAGCTACTAAAGCAGAAATATGTCTCCACTGCCTCAGTTTCCCCATCTGTGAAATGGGCCCATAGGCCTGTCCTGCCCCCCAGGGCAACTGATGTGTGTCAGCTGTGCACAGCCCTGAGCTGAAGCCCAGTGGTAGAGGTGCAGGTGTAAGGCCCACAACCCTGAGAGGCACCATACAGCCCTGAACCGCACCTGTCACCTAATTAGATTAATCTGGGGCTTTATTTAGTGCTTCCTGCCGCATCTCCTCCCTGTATGTTTCTGCACTCTAAGAACACAGGTCCCTGAGCCCGCCCCTGGCTTCTTTAGTGTTCAAAGTCACTGTTGCACTTGACACCTAACGGGGAACCAGAAAACACGGCTGAGCTGTGGCAGGCCCCGTGCACTCCACCCCCGAGGGCCCACAGGAGCTGCAGCCTCCCTCACTGCCCGCCCCGCTCACCCCCTCACCCCCTCCACACACCGTCTCCTCCCACTGGGCAGGTGCTTCCCATGGTTGGTAACTTCTCATCTTTCAGGGCTTGGCCTAAAAGTCCCCTCAGTCTTCCATGGCCCCCGTCCCCCTCCCTGCAAAGGAGGCCCCTGCCCAGATTCTCACCCCTAGATGCTTTATTTCACTGCTCTTATCAGCACCTGCGATAACATGTAATGACACACATGTGCTTGCCTGTTCGTCCCTCTCCTGCCCTGCCTGGTGGGTCCCATGATGACAAGCACCAGCCACCGGGAAGCGCTGTCTCCCCAGGCCCAGCCAAGGTGCCACGGAGCCCTCCAAGTGCTGGGTGTTGACTGACTAACTGACTGCAGGGAAATCTGCCTTACCAGGGCGGCCTCCAAAGCAGGCTGGGGAGGGCTGTGGCTCCTGATGGAGGGGCACTGTCTGCATTTGGCACGCCTGGCTGGTGACAGCCCTGCTCTGCGTGTTGCAAAGCCTGCACCGGGAGGGCCTCCACTGGCTCAGGGCATCCCCTGCCGCTCCTGGCTTTTCCTGGTCTCTGTCTCCAGGTCACATCTGTGATAAGCAAGGCAGCACACCTGCTGGGAGGGCCCAGGTGCTGCTGCCTGAGGCTCAGCTCCTCCTCGGGCTACGCTAGAGGCCCGTGCAGAGGTCAGAGTGCTCACCCAAAGACGCAGGCTGGGCTGTCCGGGGAAGCTGGTGGCCACTGGGTGGCAGATACGCCAGGCACCCAAACCCAGGGCTGGCAGGACTCACAGCAGAGAGGGCACGGCTAGAGGGTCTCACAGACCCCCACATCTCCCTTCTCCCGCAGCAAAATTGGAGCCCACGAAGCAGGCACGGACCCGGGGCTCCTCACTGGTGGTGGGGGGTGGTTGCTGGGAACCACACAGGGAGCCTTACAGTGCCCGGATGCACTGGGGGACAAACCGCACACTCCCCATTTACGGATGAGGAGACAATGAGGAGAGGGGGGTCGTCTAAGGTCACACAGCCTGGAAACAGCAGAGCTGGGCTCGTACCTGTTTGCTCCAGCGGGACCTGCCTGGCCTCAGCCCCTCCTGACATTACACAGGTTGGCTCTTTGCCTGTCCACTGAGATGCGGACTTCAACCCACTACACCTTCTGGGTAGTCCTGGAGGTCAAAGATTAGAAGCCTGGGCTTGGATGGGCTGACACCTGGGCATCGGACACTCTCCGGCTTGTGCCACCTGCTCTCTGACCCCAGGCGTCACGGGGCACCTTGGCATTGTGCAGAGGGTCTCCCACCCCGTTCTCCAAGCCCCCAGGCCTGGGGCCCATCCCCAGCCAGTCTTCAAAGTGCTGACTCAGAGCCACTGTCAAATGCCAGCTCTTTTTAAAATTTACAAATAAAGATGGATTATATTCAAGATGTACATCTTGATGATTTGACACACATCCATAAGTTACATAACGATTACCACAAATTAACACACCCATCACCACCACCCACTTTGTACATTAGGGCCCCAGAATTTGTTCATCTTCTAACTGAACCTTTGTACCTTGGACCCAAATTTCATCACCCAACCCCAGCCCCTGGCAACCAGCATTCTACTCTGCTTCTGAGTTTGACATTTTTAGCTCCCACACATAAGTGAGAACCTGCAGCATTTGTCTTTCTGTGCCTGGCTTAGGTCACTTATTGTAATATTCGTGCAGGTGCATCCGTGTTGTTACAAATGGCCAGATTTCCTTCTTTTTATGGCTGAATAATATTCCACTGTATATATGCACAATTTCCTTATCCATTCATTGATGGGCACTTGGGTTGTTTGCCTATCTTGGCTGTTTTGAATGGTGCTGCAATAACATGGAAGTGCAGATGTCGCTTCAACATACTGATTTCATTTCCTTTGGATAAATACCCAGAAGTAGCATTGCTGGGCCACATGGCAGTTCCATTTTTAACTTTTTGACGAACGTCCATACTGTTTTCCATAGTGGCTGTCCCAATGTACATTCCCACCAACAGTGTAAAAATGTTCATTTTTTTCCCCACATCCTCACCAACACTTCTCTCTTGTCTTTTTGATAGAAGCCATCCTAATAGCTGTGAGGTTGTATCTCGTGGTGCTTTTGATGTACACATCCCAGATTACTGATGTCGAGCAGTTTTTCATATACCTGCTGATCGTTCATATGTCTTCTTTGAGAAAATGTCTATCCAGGTCCTTTGCCCATTTTAAAGTTGAGTTATTTGGTTTTTCTTGCTATGGAGTTATGTGAGTTCCACATATTTTGGACATTAACCATCATCAGATATAAGGTTTGCACATAAGTTCTCCACTTCCGTAGGCTGCTTCATTTCCTTAGTTGTGCAGAGCTTTTTAGTTGGATGTAGTCCCATTTGATTTTTTTTGCTCATGTTCCCTGTTATGCTTTTGGTGTCACATCTAAAAACATCACTGCTAAGACCAATGTCAAAGAGTTTCTCCTCTATGTTTTCTTCATGGGGTTTTACAGTTCTAAACTCACTTTATGAAGCCAGCGCTACCCTCACACCAAAACCAGACAGAGATGCTACAAAAAAAGAAAATTGCAGGCCAATATCCCTGATAAACATAGACACAAAAATCCTCAATAAAATACTAGAAAACTGAACTCAACAGCATGTTAAAAGGATTGCACACCATGAAAGAGTGGGATTTATCCCTGGGATGCAAGGATGGTTCAATATATGCAAATCAATAAATGTGATAAACCACATTAACAGAATGAAGACTATAAGTCATATGACCAGCTCAATAATGCAGAAAAAGCACTGGACAAAATTCAACAGCCTTTCATGATAAAAACACTCAACAACGTAGGTCTAGAAGGAATGTACTGCAACATAACAAAGGCCATACACAGCAAGTGCACAGCCAACAGCATACTGAATGGAGAAAAGCTGAAAGCCATTCCTCTAAGATCAGGAACAGGACAAGGACACCCACTCTCACTACTGCTATTCAACGTGGCACTTGGAGGTTCTGGCCAGAGCAATTAGGCAAGAAAAAGAAATAAAAGACACCCAAATCAAAAGGAAAAAATAGTTTCTTTTTGCAGATGACATGATTTTATATATGGAAAGCCCTAAGGACTCCACCAAAAAAAAAAAAAACAAAATAAAAACCTGTTAGAATAAATGAATTAAATAAAGTTGCAGGATACAAAAATCAACACACAAAAGTCAGTTGCCTTTCTATACACTAACAACGAACTATCAGAAAAAGAAATTAAGAACAAGATCCCATTTATAATAGCATCATAAAATACCTAGGCCAGGCGCGGTGGCTCACGCCTGTAATCCTAGCACTCTGGGAGGCTGAGGCGGGTGGATTGCTCTGGGTCAGGAGTTCGAAACCAGCCTGAGCAAGAGTGAAACCCCATCTCTACTACAAATAGAAAGAAATTAATTGGCCAACTAATATATATAGAAAAAAAAATTAGCCAGGCATGGTGGTGCATGTCTGTAGTCCCAGCTACTAGGGAGGCTGAGGCAGTAGGATCGCTTGAGCCCAGGAGTCCGACGTTGCTGTGAGCTAGGCTGACGCCACAGCACTCACTCTAACCTGGGCAACAAAGGGAGACTCTGTCTCTAAATAAATAAGTAAATAAATAAATAAAATACCTAGGAATAAATTTAATCAAAGAGGCGAAAGATCTGTATACAGAAACTGTAAGTTATCGATGAAAGAAATTGTAGAGGACACAAACAAAAAAAGATATCTTGTGTTTAGAGATCAGAAAAATTAGTATTTTTTAAATGTCCATACTACCCAAAGTGATCTATAGGCTCGATGGAATTCCTATCGAAATCCCAAAGGCATTTCTCCCAGAAACAGAGAAACAACCCTAAAAACCACATGGAACTGCAGAAGGCCCCAAATAGCCAAAGCAATTTTGAAAACGAATGCGGTGGGAGGCATCACACCACCTAACCTCCAAACACATTACAAAGCCATGGCACAGCACCAGCACAAAAACAGACACGCAGTCAGTGCCCTCAGCCAATGTATGGTCAACGAGTCTTTGCCGAGGGCGCCAACGACACGCTATGGGAAAGGACAGTCTTTTCAGTAAATGTTGAGAGAACGGTTGGGCACATCCACATGCAGAATGATGCTGGACCCTCGTCTTCTACCACATACAAAAATTAACTCCAAATGGATCAAAGACTTCATTGCCATTTATTTTGAGTAGAAAATAAGCCACTTCTTTAATAATACATCAAAATGTGGGATTTTTAAAAATCTAGCTTCTCTCCCAGTCCCGGCTTCCCTGGAGGGTCCGTCGCGCAGCCAGGCTGGGCTGGAGCCATCGGGAAGGCAGCGGCCCAGGGAAGGGCGAGGCGCAGCCTCCCTGCCTCAGTAGCAGTCGGCCTGGTTCTCCTGCAGGATGCCCACTGTGGCCAGCATGTCCCGCAGGAGGGACTGGGGGCTCTTCTCCACGTGGTCGCTGCCCTGGGCCAGTGTGCCCCGGAGGCCCTCCAGGTCTATGGATCTCAGCGTAGCCAGCATGGCCTCCGGCTCCAGGTCCCCCAGGGGCTGGCCCTGCTCACCTGCCTGCCACCTCTGCAGGGCAGCCTCCACAGAAGCTGAGTCTGGGCTGCCCCCCGCCTCCCACGGGCTGCCGTAGGGTGCAGTCTTGTCCCTCAGGAAGAGGAGGAGGTCACAGGACTTCTGGGCCACAGGTCGGTCACAGTCAAACAAGGCACGAAAGGCAAACTCGAAGAGCCGCACCCGGCAGAGAGCCCCCAGCACCTCAGTGAGGGGACTGGGTGGGGCTGCCTTGGGCAGGGTCACAGTGTAGGGACAGTGGGGGCCTGGCTGTCCCAGCGTCTGGCCCAGGAACACCAGCGCCAGCTCCAAACCCTGGGCCCGCACCTCCCAGTCCAGGTCCCGGCTCACCACCTGCAGCACTGTGGCCATAAACCGCTCTGTGTCCCGGGCCACGTCGGCGTGGCCACCCCTCAGCCACTCTGTGAAGACCTGCATGACAGCTCTCCGCGGGAAACCCTCCGAGTCTGCAGAGAGGATGTGCAGGAACTCTGGAAGCAGGCTCTGGGAATGGAGAGAGGGCAGGGAAGGTTGGTGGGGTTGAGGAGGGCAGGGCTGCCATGACAGGACTTTGGGAACAGCAGGGGACTGTCCCCGGCCACACAGTCTAGGGCCACACACTGCTCTGGCTCCTTCAAGCACCATGCCCGGGAGCTGGCCTCCAGCCCTGCGTGTGCTTGCTGTGCAACAGGGGTGACAACTAAGTGGCAGGCGTGTCAAGGTAACTAAAGCCGGAGGACGCAGGCGTGGACCCAGTACGGCGCCTGGCTCCTTGGTGGTCACTCCTGGGCACTGGCTTGCCCCTGCCCCTGGCAGCCATGCAACTGCAAACAGTTTTCCCATGTGGGCTACTGGCAAGGAACCCACTGCCTCCTACCTGCTGTACCTCTGGCTGCTCGGGACTAGTGGGGGTGGCGTGCAAGCCCCGGCTGGAGAGCTCCCCCATGGCAGTCACTGCGCTGGCACGGACGTAGCTCTCGGGATCTTGCAGGAGCTGCTGGGTGAGCTCGGGCACCTCTGATTCGAGGAGCACGTGTCTGAAGTCGGCCTGCCCTGGGGGTCGAAGCAGCCACCCACAGCTGTGACTGAGCTGAGCCCCACAGCCTCCACCCTGAGTTCCCCGAGGGCAGCCTGGTTCGCCCGGTCCGCCCTCCGCCATGCACTCACCTCCCCAGTGCCTGCTCAGCTGGGTCAGGAACTCGAGGGCCGAGTCCCTCACCTCCCAGCAGGGGCTGCACAAGCGTTTCTGCAGCACAGGGAACAGCTCTGGGGCGGGAAGGGTGAGTCAGAGCGACCTCAGGTCACAATGCTGCTCACCCTGCTCGCCCTGCCCACCCAGCCCCCTGCTGCCCTCACCCCTGCGAGGGCTGGGGTTACCTGGAAGAAACAGCACCGCGTGTGGGCCGAGACCAGAGCAGCCGGGTGTCCTGGCTGAGCTCAGGAGCCACCTGAGGGTGGCCTGGAAGGCCTTCTTCAGAACCTGGGTGGGAGGGGCCGTGGGGCTATGAGGGGAGAAGGGGCGGCCGTCCACCTGCCTCCCCCAGCCTTCACCTGCCCTGCCTTGGGGACAGGAGTGTGGGGAGGCGGGAACACCGGGCTTCCTTCTCATCAGGCAGACGCAGACACAAGCGACAACACTAGCTTCCTAGACTGTGTGAGAGGGAGGAGGAGACCCTAGCCAGCAGCCCCACCTCTGGGGTAACAGGATTTCTACCTCAAGACGTAACAAATCATCCAGGTCACCTTTATCCTTAAAACCCCAAGAAGCCTCCGGGCCCTTCCTCCAAATCCCTGCACTGTCCACGCAGCAGCGCACACTAGGTCTGTACCCAATTGTGGGGCTGTGGACAGGCAAGTGCACAACCAATGCCTTAAGAACCCAGAGCCCCAAGCACAGGCCCATCCTGGCTCCAAGTCACTTCTCACAGCAAGAATTCCCTGCGGGGAGGCTGGACTGCTTCCATCTCACGGAGGCCCCGCGAGGCCCCCACGCTCCTCCCCTCAGACGCCAGGCCCTGGGCCTGAACTGCGCAGCCGCCTGGCCCTGAAGCCCGCTCTGAGCAGTGACTCCTCAGCCAGTTTGAAGGTCCCATTCCTAGAAGCTCATGTGGGGGTAGGGGAGGTCCCACCACCTCTGCCTCCCTCCCCTCCTTGCACCCCATCCCTGTCCCAGTACCATGGGGCTGGAGTCGGGGCGCTCCAGGTATTCCAGGAGGATGGCAAACACCTGTGTCACCTGCTCCTGGGGGCCTGAGAGAGACGTGAATGGATCAACCATCCGACTCCCACCCGGAACCCCCAGTGCAGTAGGGAACATGTTTATCCCAGCCCAGGAAAGTAGGACAAGGCCCCGCAGCCAGCTAGGTGCCCCCACATCCCAAAGGAGAAACGCAGAGGAAACACAATTCTGTACAGCCAGGCCTGGGGCTCACCTAGCACCAAAGTTGGATAAACATACTCACCCATCCCCTGAGACAGTGTCCCCAGGAAATCAAGGGCCGCCCGCTGCACGCGGACGCAGCCTGCCAGGGTCCCACAGAGGCAGCCCCCCACACTGGAGGCAGGCACTGCCGAGCCGTCGCAGAGACGTAGTATTGTCACCACAGCCCTGAGCAGGGGCACCTGGGGCCAGGGCGAGGGGTGCTGGGGCTGAGAGGAGGGAGGGAGGGTCAGCAAGGCTGCAGTCCCTCTGGTCTAGACAAGGGACAGACAGGGCCACACACACCAGCGGCTGCAGCTCCTCCAGGTGGGCCAGGGTCCGGCACAGGAGGCCCACGCAGGACGACTTGGAGGACAGGAGAGCGTCTGCCACCACAGAGTCCTCCGAGGTCCCGTCCAGCAAGCCTGGAGGCCAAGCCAGGAGCAGCTCCCTTAGGGTGGGCACCTCCACCTTGCCAGTGGTCACCACCCCACAGTCACTGCCCGCAGTGCAGAGCAGTGGCTCACCTGGGGGGATGGCCCACCCCCGGCCACCCTCACTGTTAGAGGGAGGCCTGGTGGGATCTAAGGCCGGGGTGGTGGGCTGGGTCCCCCCACTTTCCTTTCCCTGACCCCCAGAATCCGCCCAGGAGCTCAGGCTCCATCCTCTCTCCCCAGTCCCATTCCTAAGCTGGGTACCTGGGAGCCCAGGGGCTTGAGTGGTGGCCTTCAGGACACAGGCCAGGGGCTGGAGGAGCACCCCAAAGGCCTGGGTCCTCAGTGCCTGTGGGCTGGGGAGGAAACAGCGTAAGGTGAGCCTATGTGCTCCTGGCATCCCGGCTTGTCTGGGGCGGGTTGGCCAAAGCAGGGGATTAGGACATCCCTTTGAGAAACAGCGTGTGTGCAAGCCACTGGCCAGGGGACCCCATGCTATGGGGATGGGGGGGGGGAACAAGGCCTGCAGGGCCCAGGCCTGGCGTCCTCAGGAGCAGCCACTAAAGGAGCCTCAGACGCTACTGCTGCTCAGCCAAGATGACATCCTCCCTCCGTCCTGGGGAGGACCCGCCCTCATGCTGGGCCCTGGGGTAGAGGCTATGCCAATAGCAGAGCCCCCTCCAGGGCCTGGTCCTCTGTCCCCTGTCCTCCCTCAGTCCATTCTCTCTCCCGAGCAGAGTGGGGCTCACACTACACTCCCCACCCCTCTGGAACTGTGACATGCCCTGCCCGTGACCTCAGGCTCTGTGGCTCCGTGGCCCCCAGACCTACCCTGGGGTGGGCACACTGGGAACTCCAGAGCCATCCACTGAGGCAGCTCGGAAGGGTCAGAGGGCAGCAGAGCCCTGTGTTTCATCTCTGGGGATCCCGCGGAGCTTTTATTTTTTGAAACAATTCTTCTGGCACTGAGAAGTGCAGAAGCCACCAGCCTACATCCAGCCTGCATTGCTGCCTGGTCCCCCCTGTGGCTGCCTCTGGTTGCTGGTGTTGGGTGCTATCCCACAGCTCCCAGCCAGGAGGGCTGCACTCTTGACCTCTCTGCCTCCTCTGCTCCCTGCACCCCCAGCACAGAACCCCCCCCCTCATACCAGAGGTGCAGCTTCAGGACCCCCAGCGCCAGGGGCCCTGCCTGGGTGGGGCCCAGGCGGCTCAGGGCCTGAGCTGTCATCTCCCACGGGCCGAGGTCCGAAGAGCCGAGCACAGGAGAACTGCAGGGAACCCCAGAGAGAAAAAAAATCATTCCTCCGCCCCCCAAAGCCCACTCAAGGCCCAGCTGCGACTGCCTTGGCCTCTGGGGCTGGAGCACCAGCTCAAGACAGAGGCCTTCCCTGGTGTCCCCTCACTGAAGGCAGCATTCTTTGACGGGTGCAAAGGGGATGGAATCTCTGTCCCTAGGTGCCAGTGAGATCCACCCAGGTGTCACACCACTCTGGGACATCCTGAGGAAAACACGTGCCCACCCCAGGCCCACCAGCTGCGTCCCGGGGACCTGACCGGGCCACACAGAGGAGCAGGTCCACAAGTGGGTGTGGGGCTGGGACGGGGTCTCTCTCCAGCAGACGGGCCACGAGGGGACTCAGCTGCTCCCAGAGGACTTCTGTCCACGGGCTCTGGCAGCGCCCAAAGGTGGTGGTCAGGACGTTGAGGGCCTGAGTGACCCTTGAGGTGTCTGTGGAGCATAAGGACTCTTCGATATGACCCACGATCTTCTGGGCACACGTGGGCCAGTCATCGCCCTGAGGGCAGGTGTGTCCCTCGGCCCTGCCTCCCATAGACAGAGCCAGGATGTGCACCAGGAGCTGACCAGCAGCTGAGGCCACAAACAGGCTGGCATCTCCCTGCAGGGAGAAGACGGTGTCAACAGCACCTGGGCAGGGGACAATGGAAGAGAGGAGGAGGCAGTCAGCAGAGTAGAGTAGGGGAACTTCATGGGCTTGCGCAAAGAGCCTGACTGGGGGCACTCACGAGGTCCCCAGATGCCCCTGCTCCAAAGCCAGAGGAGACCAGGACAGAAGTTCACGGAAGATGGACACCTCCTCCTAACGGGGCCTTACCCCAGGAAGCTCAGGATTCTCCCCAATTAGTTTCGAGGACTGACTCCCTGACAGCCCACCCCAGCTCCTCAGGCCTGACGTCCATTCACCACAACAGCCCTGAGACTCGACAGTCTTGTGGATGAGAAGACGAGGCTCAGCCCCGTGCAGGGACTCCAGGGGTCCTGTAGACGGGACAGGGTGGGGTGGGCACACTCACCGTGGTCTGCCAGGAAGTGCAGGGCGCTGGGGTGCTGAGCGAGGGAGCGCAAACCCTGGATCCAGCCACTGCGCACAGTGGGGACAGCCCAGACTGCTCGGCTTAGGGGTCCCGCTGCCCCAAAGAGCCCCGGCAGCAATTCCACCTGCCGGGGAGCAAGGAAGGCGGTGGGAACACGGACTGGGGCAGATCAGGGATGGCTTTCTACTTCTCAGGGCTGGTTGGGGCACTTTGGGGGGGCGCGTTTATACCAGCTGCCGATACAGAGACAAGGGCCCCCAGCAGCTGTGTTCCAGGAGGTGGCAGATGGCCCTCCAGTGCCGTCAGGTGGTTGGGGGAGCTTTGGGGAAAGAAAGAACTGATTCCAATAAAGGTCCATCACTCCTGCTACTGGCCACTTGAGAAATCCTGTCCCCAAAAAGGTATCACCAGCTCCACCTTCAAAGGCCTACCCCACTGTGACCTTCTGGGCTCAAGAACCCCCAACACTTCTCCTGAACTCCTGAGCTTGCGTTCGTGGCCCAGGGCACCCGCCCTCCTCTCCCAGGGCTCCACAATCGGCACGTGAGACCCAGTGCACCTGTGGGTCAGGCCTGCTCCCAGCATCTGCCACCCCCACACCCATTCCAACACTCCACGACCCAGCTCCTCTGCGAAGCTGATCCTCGGGCTGTGGATCCTCCCCACAGGATCCTCACCTGCTACAGACCTGCCTTGGCACAATCACACCCAAGTTCCCCACTAGGCGTCAACAGGGCAGGCGGAAAACCCTGGTTCTGACTTGCTGACTGGAGACCTTCACTGGCACAGGGAGTCCCCGAGCCTGGAGTCTGGACTCCAGAACTGTCATCAGGGCATGTACCTAGCCCAGCCAGGCCTCGGGCTTCCGTCCAGCCGCTGCCTACCCTCAGGGGACAGGAAACCCTTCACCCATGGCAGACGCCAGGAGAAGGGCCCTCAGAAAGGGAGACGCTGCTTCTAACTCGCTACGGCGGCACAGGGGCCACAGACCCGCCCTCTTGATGTTTTTCCCTAAATTCGACTCAAGCCCAGTGCCTGGCTCACCACTGCGCAGCGACCTCCATGCCCAGACCCCACTTGAGGATGGAGGTGCCCAACCTCAGCTGAGGGGGTCTGCTGGCAGTGGGAGCCCCTCCCCCGCCTTCGGCGACTGTGTGCACGCTTGCGCCCAGACACGGGCCCCTGCAGGCAGGCCTGGGAGGAGCGGCTGCAGTGAAGGGGTGGGTGGAAAGGGAGCACTGGGACAGAGGAGAGCAGCCTTTGGCCCTGCCACGGTCTGTGTCCCTCGTCCCTGCACAATAGGTGACCACCTCCCAGAGAAAGGAGGCCAGCGATGGCCATTCAGGCCTTGAAGCCACAGCCGGCCTCGGGAAGGAGCCAGAATACAGAGGAGACGGAGAAGCACCAGGAAGCACCCTGGGGACGGCTGAAGCTGGGAAAAGCCATTTGCTTGTGACTGAAAATTTGCTTTCAGAAATTGGTGTAACAGTTGGTGTAACAGGTCACCAGGCACCTGCACTCTCCAGGATCTAGGGTGAGCCTCGCCAGTTCTGTGGGACTCTCGTACTGCGCCTCCCTCCTTTCCTTATTCAGAAAATGGAGATAAAGACTTCTGACCTGCCCCTCGGCCAGGCCTCCTGAGATGACATGACAGTAGTGTTCCAAACTCTAAAGTGCTTTCTAAACTCCCAAGCCCCTGCGAATGGATGCATGATTACGGCTGAGGGCAGGAAGCACAAAGCCAGGCCCTAGGACACACTGCATTGCACAGAAGTACCCTAGGACGTCCTGTGAGGTCCGTCCCCCAGCAAGACGGTGCTTGGCTGGGCTCCCAGGCAGTTGCTGAACCAGGTGGCAGCCATGAATGGCCACCTAATGTCCCTCCCCACCACTGTCCTCTCCGGGTGACTCCAACACGGCACAGAGGACCAGAGGACATGGATGTGCCTTCACAAGAGTCTATGAGGTACCAAGAGAAGCAATCACTCTGGACTGGCAGGGGCCACAGGCGCTGGCATCAGGCATCACCTAACAAACCCAGGGGTGCCTGTTTGGAGGTTCTCAAGGTTTGAGACACATGGCTCTGGGGAGCCCCTCCAGCTCTCATGCCGTGCTGCCATGTAGAAATTCTCACTGGTCATTCACTCATTCACAGGGCTGACCAGTGCAGGCACTGGTCTGTGGTCTCATTTCAGCCTCACAACAACCCCACAAGACGGGTACATTCTTAACTCTGTCACAGGCAGAAACTGAGGCTCAGGAACTGGTCAGGCAAGATCTTACAGAGGGTCAGAACTGAGAGCCAATCCCGGTTCTGACTCATTCCAAAAAAACTCACTCTTTAACCCCAAGCTCATTCCTGGTGAATGTTTCAAAGGGGTTACGCACAGGAGTAAAAATTCTGTCCCACTGGTCAAGACACAGGGGTGAGGCAAGTCTCTGGAACTCAGGGACCGTGACAGCTACACACGCTTTACGTGTCTGCAGAAGGAGAAAGCTGCCCACCTGTCAGTGGGACACTGGGCAGGAAGACCCCAGCTCACCTGAAGGTACTGGAAGCAGTCTTCCTGTGCTGCAAATATCCCTGCGAGACGGAGTGAGAAGGAGAGGACCCCAGCACTAACGTCCTGCAGTGTCGGCACGTGGGACAGCAGCTCCAGCAAGCAGGGGTTCTCCTGGAGCAGCAAGAGACTGGACTCTGTGGAGACAGGCCCCACTGGGAAAGTGGTCACCAGGGACACAGCACTACACATGCCCCTAGAGAACCCTCTTCTCCTGGCAAGTCCCAGACCCATTTCTCTTAAGGTGTTAGATTTATGGTCCAACTGGGAAAGCACATTTACAATAAATGTAACAAACGACTCATAGCTTTAAATCAATACGGGGGGAAACTAGAAGGCCCATACCTCAACAGCAGGTAAAGGACAGAGATGAGAAATGCAAATGGTCAACAACTCTTAAAAAATGCCTGTCTCACTGATTATGAAAAAGAAATGTAAATTAAATCGAAAGACCAGTTTTACTTCTCAAATGGATACTTTTATACTTTTTCTTAAACAGACAGTGCTTCACACAAGGAATTGCAATGAATAGGCCTTCTTCTCTAGATCTGGCATCCTGAATTTCTATCTACACTCAGCCATGCTATTGTTCAAAAGTACCGATGGGGGAAAAAGACATGTTGAGGCAAAGGCCAGGAGAGTTTCCCAGAGAGAGGCTTTGTGGAAAGAGCTACTACAGGACACGGTTCAGAAAGAAGGAAAGTGAACACAGTGAGAAGATGCCAGGGGCAAGGGCCCAATCAGCACGTGGGTGGATCTAAATAAGCACTGTGTTCTAAAGCTAAAAATAAATCATCGCTGCAGGGTTTTTTCTTTTTTTTTTTTTTTTTTGAGACAGAGTCTCACTTTGTTGCCCAGGCTAGAGTGAGTGTCGTGGCGTTAGCCTAGCTCACAGCAACCTCAAACTCCTGGGCTCGAGCGATCCTTCTGCCTCAGCCTCCCGAGTAGCTGGGACTACAGGCATGCGCCACCATGCCCGGCTAATTTTTTATATATATATCAGTTGGCCAATTAATTTCTTTCTATTTATAGTAGAGACGGGGTCTTGCTCTTGCTCAGGCTGGTTTTGAACTCCTGACCTTGAGCAATCCGCCCGTCTCGGCCTCCCAAGAGCTAGGATTACAGGCGTGAGCCACCGCGCCCGGCCCGCTGCAGGGTTTTGAAACAAGATAGAATTAAAAATACTAAACAACAATAATATGGAACGTTGTTGTGGTAGCCTGAATTTAAGGTGCTCTGAGAGCCTTAAGTTGTATGGATAGAGCACAGAGATTCTAATTAACTTCAGACTGAAAAAAAAAATCCAGATTGCATGTTAAAAATGTAAGGATAGCCACTAAAGAACATAAATGGAATATACAACTGCAAAACGAGAAAAAAGATTTTAAAAAAAAGCTTTATCAGCCCAATGGAATAAAAAGTAAGACATAGGAAATGTAAAAATGCAATAGAATATGGCAGGAGCAAGTTCAAATTTGACAGTAACCTCAGCAAGTGAAAGGGATCAAATTTATCTGTGAACACAAAGAGTTGCTCAGATTCAATTAAACACTAAAAGTGACCAATGTATTGTTTCTAAGAAGCAATACAGCATGACAGTCAGAAAGGCCAGGAGTAGGGGTAACAAGATACAGCAGGCAAATTCTAATTTTAAAAAAGCTAATGTAGCAACAGTAATATTAGACAAAATGGACTGTAAAGCGAAAAGCACAATTAGCGCAAAAAAACGTTACTGTACACTGATCAAAGAGACAAATTCTAGGAAGACATAATAGCCCTAAGTATGGGTGAACCTAACATAACCTCAGCATATGTAAAGCAAAAAAAGACAGCATTTCAAAGAAAAATTGTCGAATCCACAATCTTACTGTACAGTTTTTACACATCTCTCAGAAACAATTAAGCAAACAAATTAGCAAAAGCATAGCAGGTTCGAACAATGCAAGCTTGAACTAGGGAACAAGTATAGAAACTATTAATATATAATTTCCATCACATAGAAGACAGAATAAATGAGTAGAGGCTGGGAGGGAGGAGGAAATAGGGATTGACTACTGCTAATGGGTACCCGGTTTCTTCTGGGTGGACAAAAATATTCCGAAATTAGATTGTGCTGATGGTTGCACAGCCCCATAAATTTACTAAAAACTTCTGAACTGGTACACTTTCAATGGATGAATTGTATGGTATGTAAATTATATCTCAAAAAAGTCATTTAAAAATACTTTTTAAAGTTTGACCACAAACTAGGCCGTAACTGAAGACTTACAAATACCAAAAAATCAAAATCATATAGTGAAACCTATAGAACATTCACAAAAATTGCCCATGTACTAAAAGCCTGAACAGCTACAAAAGAATCAAAACACAGACTATATTTCCTAATTTTAATGAAATAAATTATAAATCAATGATAAAAAGCCTGAAAAACTCATACTTTGAAACTAAAGGGCAGATACTCTTTTAAATAACTGTGGCTGAAGAAAAAACCTCATAATGAAAACCATGAAATATTTAGACTGCATAGTAAAACTTGCAAGATGCAGCCTAAGTCATAATTTCAGAGAAGTGTGTAGTCTTACATGTATATATTAATATTAGAAAATAAGAAATAAATAGACATTCAACTCAAAAGAGTGAAAGAACAGGGTAAACTAAAGGAAGAAAGTAATGCACAGTAGAAATTAATGACATGGAATCCATCTTAAGGCAATTAACCGCCAAGAGAGCAAACATTTACAGGCAAGAATATTTATACCAGAAAAGCCATTATGACACCATTTGTAATAATGAAAATTTAGAAACATAAACATCTAGCTACAGCAGAGGGATCAATTACGGTCCATTCATACAGTGACTAACGTAGTCAAGAAAATTAAGGTGTTGCACAGAAAAGACATTCACTCTAATGGCAAGAGAGAAAACGCAAGACATCAAAATTGTATTTACAGTATGACCTCAGTCTTATCAGGAAAATACAGCTTTACGATGTGTTATGAAAAAGGGTGATTGTTTAATTTTCCTATAAAACAGGTGATGGTTTAATCTTCTTCTTCACTCTTTTTTGTTGTATACGTTTTAAAGACTGTGGGATTACTTTCAAATAATCAGGAAGAAAACAAATCTGATTTCTTAAATGCACGAGAACAATAAAATAAGTTTGTCTATGCCTTCTGCAACCACTCGCAAGAACTGAACGATAGGATACCCGAATGGTGGCTCGAACTCGCTAAGAATTTCAAGCTCAAACTCTCCTGCCCATTCCCTCAGGCTTCAGCTTGCCTTGCCAGCATCAGCCACAAAGATACCCAAGGGAGAGTTCATGCCCCTTCTCCAGGACAGAAGAGCCCTGGTGCCTTGTCCCTGGCTCTGTGTGCATCCTCCAGCCTCTGGACAAGCAGTAAACAGTAGCGCCAGCCCCCTTACCTGCTTCAGTTACCGTTTTAAACCAGTCCAGCAGCTTCTCCAAACAGGTGTCATCCGCCACCGGCTGCCTGGGGTCTGCCAGGACAGCACAGACGGCCGGGAGGAGCCGGGCGCATTCGTGGTCCATGATGAAGCCGGGTCCCTGCATAGGAAATGTGACAGCCAGTCCTCAAGCCGCTGCAGACCCCACGGCCCTAGTCACCAGCAGAGGTCCAAGCTGCCCAGACGGACGCAAAGCCTTGGTCGGGGTGGGGCAGGGGAGGGCCCTGGGCAAGCGGGCGTCCGGCTGGAAGGAGGCGAGAGCGTGGACGTCGGTGGGGAGGAGGACAGCACCGTGCTGACCCAGGCTGCAGGCAACCCAGCGAGGGGCACCTGTGGGCTCTGGGGTCAGCCGCGTGTGCAGGGAACGTCCGTCCCCGCACCGGCCCAGGGGCAGGCCGGGCTGCAAGTGTCTGCCCCTCCGGGTCAGTGGTGGCTGCACTGGACAACCGTGCAGCCAGCAGAGGCGTACGGAGGGGAAGGGCTGCAGTGTGCATCAGTGTCCGGCCGGGAGGAGACCGGGGTGGTCGGCGGCTCTGCCGGACTGGGGCGTCCGTCCGCCCGTCCCCGCGATTCCGAGTCAGTTTGGGCCGCGCGCGCCCGGCCCGAGGGTCCAAAAGGGGCGCCGGACGTGGCGGCCGCGGGCGGATGGGAACCCAGCCCCAAGCCCAGCGCACGCCCCGCCGCCGCGGCTCGGACTCGGCCAGCGCGCCCCCTTCACATCGCGCGCCCCACCGCGCGCCCCTCACCTGCGCGCGTCGTCTGTGCGTCCGCCGCAGGCCCCGCCCGCGCCGCAGGCTCCGCCTCCGGACTGTGCCACTTGCCGGCCCGGAGAGGGGACGGCGGGCGTGGGAAAGCGTGATGTCTCCCCTGGAGGCCGCTATGGAAGCCCAGAAGACCCCGGCTTGGAGAAGGCACTCAGGCTGAGAGGGGTTGGGCAACAAGCCGGCGCCAAAGCGGTCGCCCCGACATGTCACCCCAGCCAGGACGCTCGTGGTATATGCCCGAGCATCCGGTGGGCGGAGCGCCCCGGAGGCGGGGCTGTCTGCCAAGGGGCGGGGCTATTCCTGAGGGGCGAGGCCTCGCTGGGCGGGGCGCCACGCGTCTGGGCGGGCGGGAGCCGGGAAAGCGAGTAGCGGTCAGAGGGTTCTGGTCCGAGCGCCGGCGTCCTTGGGCATCTGGCTTCAGGGTCTCAAAACGGGCTCTCAAAGCCAGTGGATAAACAGGGCTCATGTTCCCAGAGCGTTAGTTTTACAGCAAGATTTTGGAGCCAACACCAGATGTATGTTAGGAAACGGCAGGCAGAATTCCTACAGCTGTGAAGATAAAAATGACACTTGGAAAAAACATTGACTTTGATGGGATCACTTTGAACAACCACATTCCCTAACCCTTGCGCCCTGTCCCCTTTAGAGCGACACAGGTGAGAGGTTTGAAATACATGGTATCTTCCCTGAGCTTGGATTCTGCACTGTAAAGTGAAATGCTAATGGGATACTCATATTCTCCGGATTGGGTAGTTGTGGAGGAAATAAAAGTTACAGGCTTGTAATCCCTGCACTCTGGGAGGCCGAGGCAGGTGGATCGCTCAAGGTCAGGGGTTCGAAACCAGCCTGAGCAGGAGTGAGACCCCCCCCCCCAGTAAAATAGAAAGAAATTAATTGGCCAACTAAAAATATATAGAAAAAATTAGCCGGGCATGGTGGTGCATGCCTGTAGTCACAGCTACTTGGGAGGCTGAGGCCTAGGCTTTTGAGGTTGCCGTGAGCGAGGCTGATGCCACGGCACTCTAGCCTGGGCAACAGAGTAAGACTCAGTCTCAAAAAAAAAAAAAAAAAAAAAAAAGAAAGAAAAAGAAATAAAAGTTACAAGAGCCCTGTGCTAAGTGCTTCACTTAATGTAAACTCATTAAATTTTACAGCGACTCAAGAACCTTACTAAGAAACAGAGGCAAAAAGAGACTAAACCCTAAGGTCTCACAGATAGTAGGGTGGCACAGCTTGGGTTTAAACCCAGGCAGTCTGGCTCCAGTTATGAATACTATCAATATATTATACAGTCCACAATTTATTACCTGAAACTTTAAGGGACAAGCATTTTTCAGAATTCACAATTTTTCAGATTTTAGAAATGGAGACATGACACATACACAATGAATATGAGATTACTATCCCAGCAGGGTCTGATGTAGCACCCCATAATTAAATGCATTAATAGTTGTACTCATTCATATAAACTCTAAGTGGGATAAACATTATAAATAGCCTCCGCTCAGAGATTTGCCTCCAAAAGAGTTGAGGTTAGGGCAGGTTTTTGCCACCAAACGAATTATGAAAGGTTTTCAGACTGTTTTGGAGTTCAGAATCACAAGTGAAGGAAGATATACATCTTTGTATTTAAATAAGAGAAGGGCAGTGAGTTTGCAAAGCCCAAGGGTGGGAGAGCAGCAAGAGGTACTTAGGAAGAGGTAGCAGAGATGGTAAAAGCCCTGGTATGTAGCATGTGGACCATGCCCTGGAAGCAAACAGAAATTTTTAAGGGTGTGAGTAGCCCAGTAAAATTTGCCTTGTAAAAACAACTCTGGTGACAACTGAGAAGAGTGTGGGGTTTCTTTCATCTTAGGATGCATCAGAGAAGGTCTAAACAAGGAACTAGAACTTGGGGAGCAACTGCTACCAGACAGGACCTGACAGCAGAAGAGTACCAAGGAGTGGGTTGGACAATTTCAGAACAAATACAATTGTATTATTTTAAATGCCATTCAAGTAATAGAACTAGCTGTAAAGTGTTGCACAGTAGCTTCAATTTTTTTGGTTGCTCACTATGTTCTAGGCACTGTGCTGAATTTTATTTCTGTTTGGTCCTTTGATATCAACAAAAGCCCTGAAACTCTTTCCATTTTGCAGACAAGGAGATGACAATGAAGCTACAAAACATGGGCTCCTAACCACTAAGTGGCTCAATCTCCCCAGCTCTAGGGCAATAGCCTTGAAACACCGATCAGCTCACCCCCTTGGCTGTACAGATGAGGAAACTGAGAGGAAAAGGCCCAGGGACACATGGTGGGGTTGGGGGACAGACCTGGAATAACCTGCCCAGCATTCTTTTCACCATACCACACTCCCCTGGTGTGTGGACCCATTCATTCGTTCATTCATGGCATAATAAACACAGCCACAGTGTACTCACTCTGGGACAGGCAACTGTTCTCAGCACTCTGCAGATCCGGACTCATTTGAGGCTCCCAGTGGCCCTTTTCTCCACTTTACATTGAGGAGACAGGTGCAGAGAAGTCATAGAACTTGCTGGACATCAAATACCTATTTATTGAGCACCTGCTGTGTACCAGACCCTGTTGCAGGTGATGAAGATACAGATACAGCCCGGGACAAAACATAGCTCCTGCCCTCAGAAAGCTTACACTCCTGACACAGGATGCTTTTGTGGATAGTAAATGTCAGGAAGCCAGAAAAATAAAGCAAAGGCTACGAGGCTGCTGTTTCAGACAGAGCAGATGGCCTTGGAGGCCTATGTGAAGAGAGAGCAAATCATACTTACTCATAATTTAAATTAATTTTGAAGCTGAATGTTCCTGAACAGCATTTTGAATACAATACAAGCTCTCCATTTTTTTCTTTTTTTATTGTCCTGTGACTGGGTCTGACTCTGAGAGCCCAAGATAGGAGATTAAGGAAGACAGTATTCTAAACGTCACCGTTCAGAAATAGTTGCCTGTGCTGTTGGACAAGCCATTTCTCTTTTGATGTTGACTTGATAAACAGGCATTGATTGCCTACTGTTTATTAATCACGCCTCCTACTCATCCTTCACGGCCCGCGGTGAAGCTCCTATGAGATCAGAGCGGGAGACGCACTTTGCAAACTGTTAAGCGCGGACTACCCCTTTCCCGGCATTCGCCCGCCCTTTCAGCTCAGCCCGGCACTCCGCCCCGGCAACTCCGGGAGCGCTCCTGGGCGGCCGGTTGGTGTACACGGTCTCTGCGCACGCGCACGGTCGTCCTGGCCCGCGCGGCGCTGTCTACATCCGGGGCCCCGCGGGTCGGCGGCGCGGTTACTATGGTAGCGGGGTCGCGGGCTGGTGCGCGAACAGGCCCGGAGGCTGCGGGCGGCCCTCGGAGCCCCACATCCCCGCCACCGAGCCCGCAGCTCTGAGGGGTGGCCGGGCAGCGCCGCCGCCATGTCGCTGGGCACAGGGGACCCGACCTCGGAGACGGTAAGGACGGGCGGACGGGCCTCCGCGCCGCCCCCTGCGCTCGCAGTGCCCGCTGGCCTGGCCGGCTGCGGGGTTAGAGGCGCGGTAGGGGGCTGTGACACTGGGCGGCTGCAAAGCCTCGGGCAAGTCCCGCCGCGCCGAGCGCCGGGACTCAGCGCGGTGGCCGGCCTGGGGCGTGAGGACGAGAGTGCATGGCCAGTTGCGGCCGAGTGACAGCTGCCATTATTGTTACCGCATAAGAGCGGACCTCAGGTCCCCGCCCCGCGGGCGGCCCGGCCGGACATCGGCCACCGCCTGGCCCGCGCCCCTAGCCCGCCTCTAGACGCCGCCCGCTCTTGCAGAGGCCGCCGCTTCCAGGAAGCCCTCCCGAACGCTGCGCTGTCGCCGCTCCTCGCCTGCGGGTCTGCAGCCTCGGCCCGCCGGGCGTCGGATCTCACTGTGTAAGTGCCTCCTGAAGGCTCAACTGAAGACACCCCAGAGGCCAAGGGCCACGCACCGGTCAGCGATCGGGGTGTCAGGAAGGAAGACCCAAACTTGGGGAACCCAGCCTGGTCAGAGAAGGCTTCCCAGAGGAGCCGATGCCCAACTTTACTCCCTAGGGTTTGGGTGAAGGGCTGTCCTTCATTCCTCTGCCAAGTATAAAGTTAACGCCCACTATGTGTTAGAAATACAAACGTGAATAAGCCGCATTCCAGTGCCTGGAGAACAAGCCGATGAGCAGTTAATTAAGATCATGTCAGAAAGTAAAAAGTACTGTGCAGAGGTGACGGAGGGGTTGGGGGCGCTGCTTTAGTTTGGGCACCAGGAACAGCCCTCTGAGGTGTTAACACTTGCCCTGGATCTCAAAGACAACGGTCTGGTAAAGATCTCAGAGCAGAGGGTGCTTCAGGTGCACAAGTCCTGGACTGGGAGGGTGGTGTGCTCCAGAGGCTGAAAGAAAGCACAAGGGGTTGGACAGGAGGGCAGAGGCTGCAAGGAGAGTGGATGCAGGCGAGCATGGGCCTGATTCTGGAGAGCCTTGCAAGCCGCGCAAAGAGTTTGGATTTTATTGAGGGTACAGGGGAAGGCTTCGGAAGGTTCCACGCCAAGGGAGCTGTACTTGCTTTGCTTCTTTCTCACGGAGACGGCAGAGCTGCACTGAGCTCCTTCAGAGTAGGGTTTTGTGCCACTGGCCAACTTGGAACAGCTGAAATTTCCTACTTGTTCCTCGAGGTGCCAAGTCCTGTTGCATCTGGAGGGCCTGCATGTCTACATCAGCCCTCAGTTACTGCTCCTTCATCTTTAAAAACTGCTGATGCTGTGATTATAAAAATAATTCATGTCTAATGGATAAAAATTTGGAAAATTAGCCATAATCTGGCCATCTGCAGAAAATCACAATTAGCATTTTGTATATTTCCTTCTAATATTTTTCCAATGCATCTTTTTCCATACTTTTTAAAAAACTGAGATCATATTTATATTTTTTGTTTTATAACTTTTGCCATTTACTTTGTTGTTAGCATTTCCCATATCCACACATTTTCAAGAACATGATTTAAAAAATTCTAATTTATTATCCATTTCCCAGCTTTTACTTTTAGGTTTTCACTTTTTTTTTACTATTGGAAATAATGCTGCTGTATGGCTAGGCGTGGTGGCTCACACCTGTAATCCTAGCACTCTGGGAGGCTGAGGAGGGAGGATTGCTCAAGGTCAGGAGTTCGAGACCAACCTAAGCAAAAGCAAGACCCTATCTCTACTAAAAATAGAAAAAAATAGCTGGGCATAGTGGCGCATACCTGTAGTCCCAGCTACTTGGAAGGCTGAGACAGGAGGATCACCTGAGCCCAGGAGTTTGAGGTTGCAGTGAGCTATGATGATAGCACTGCACTCTAGCTGGGGTGACAAGAGTCTCCAAAATAATAATAATAATGCCATAAATATTCTTGTATATAATAAAAATTTCTTAAGCACCTCTTACATGTCAGGCCCTATACTATGCTCTGATAACACAAAAACAAGTTAAGATCTTGTACCTTGGTCTTGAGGAATTCAGTCTTATAGAAGAGAGTAGTACAAAGCTCTCTTGGCATTTAGGAGACTCTCAGGCTCTAGCTTGTGGATTTTCTTCTGAGCTTCGATCTATTTTCCTAAACCAGACAAGAACCTCTTGAGGGCAATGACTCTTGTCCAGTCCATCCGTTTCCCCAAGTCCCTAGGAATAGAGTTCGTCTGGGCTGGTTCTTGAACCTCTGAGAGCACCTACTGTGTGCCAGGGAGCTCACCAGCCATGGCTGTGAGCAGGCCCAGCTGACCACAGGGCAGAACCACAGGAGTGAAGTGGAAACTGCGTGATTGCTCATGAACCAACTTTTGTAAAGGGGTTGGTAGTTTCTAGAAGAAAAGAGCATTCATTGAGCATATACTATCTGTAAGGTTCAGTGTCACACACATTATTACTTGGACCCCCTACACTAGACCTCCTGCTCTTGACTCTACTCTAATATCACAATAATGTTACAAGGGAGCCCTTGTTCAGATTGGATGCTAACAGAATGCCAACCATCAGAGAAGGGATTTAGCAAAGGTCATAAACCATTTGGAGTTGAGACCAGATCTTTGGATTCCAAATCCATGCCTACCATCCCCCTTTATTTTAAACATCCTGTACTTTCTATTTCATAAAACTCCAGCACCTAGAATTTTCAGAATTCCAGGGATGAAACTGAGAAGATGTACTAAGGGACTAAGTAGGCAGAAGTGCTGGGTTTTATCCTCCTATGAAACTGTATAGCTGCTATAAGGAATTTTCCCTCTGAAGATTAAAAAGTATAGGAGACATTTTCCCGCTTCCATCTAAATGACATTGGGGTTCTCAGATTCATCCACATTCTTGTCTTCTATTTCATCCACGTATTTGTCTGATTAGAACTGGCTATTAGGAATGTCTAAACAGTCAGCAGAAAAGAATGAATAGGTTATGTCAGTATTGACTCATTCCGTATAGCTAGACATGTATCTTATTTAATTTTTCAGGTTTTTTCTTTGAACATAAAAACCTTTAATATGTTTGACATTATTTTGACATAAGATGAAAGGTAAGCATCCATCATTTTTTTCTAAGTGGCCAGTTGTCTAACTGCAAGTAGAGGATTAACTCATTTTTTAAAAATGTCTCTATTGAGATATAATTCACATACCATAAAATTTATTTACTTAAAGTATATCATTCAGTAGTTTTAGTATACTCATAGAGTATCTTTTCATGTGCTAATTTGTCATTTGTATATCTTCTTTGAAAAAAATATCTATTCAGATCCTTTGCCCATTTAAAAAATTGAGTTGTCTTTTTATTATTGAGTTATAAAAGTTCTTTATATATTCTGCATATCAGTCCATTACCAGATACATGATTTGCAAATAATTTCTCCCATTTTCTTTTTTCTTTTTTTAAGTGGACTAGTGTCATTTGTAACACAAAAGTTTCTATTATGATACAGTTTAATTCATCTATATTTTCTTTTATTGCATGTGCTTTCAGAGTCATGTCCAAGAAACCATTGCCTGATCCAATATCACAGAGATTTATATGTTTTCTTCTAAGAGTTTTATAGTTTTAGCTCTCACATTTAGGCCAATGGCCTATTTTGTGTTATTTGAGTTATTTTTTTGTATGTGATGTAGGGAAGCAGTTCAGCTTCTTTTGCATGTGGATATCCAGTTGTCCCAGCACAATTTATAGAAAAGACTGTTTTTTTCTTCCATTGAAGACTCTTAGCATCCTTTTAAAAAATCAGTTGACCATAAGTATAAGAATTTTATTTCTGGACTCTCACTATTATTGCTTTTATCTTATATGTCTATTTTTATGCCAATACCTCACTGCCTTGATTATTATAAATTTGTAACAAGTTTGAAATAGGAAAATATGAATTCTATAACTTTTCTTTTTTGATATTTTTTGGCTATTCTGGGACTCTTACATTTCCATATGAATTTTATGAGCAGCTTGTCAATTTCTGGAAAAAAAACAACTGGAATTTTATAGGGATAATGTTGAATCTATAGATCAATTTAGGGAGTATTGCCCTCTTAACAAAATATTAATTCTAACAACCTGTGAACATGGGATAGCTTTCTATTTTTGTAGATCTTTAATTTCTTTCAATAGTGTTTTGTATTTTTCAGTGTAAAAGCTTACACTTCTTTTGTTAAATTTATTCTTAAGTATTTTATTCTTTATGATGTTATTATAAATGGAATTTTCTTAATTTCATTTTATATTGTTCATTGCTACTATATACAATAGTAATAGATTTTTACATGAAGCTCATATCCTGCAAACTTGCCAAACTCATTTATTGATTTTACTAATTTTTTAGTAGATTCCTTAGGATTTTCTATGTATAAGATCATGTTGTCTGTGAACAGAGATATTTTTACTTCTTTCTTTCCAATCTTGATGTCTTTTATTTATTTTTCTTATGTTAATGTCCTGACTAGAACCTCTAGTACAATTTGAATTAAAGTGATGAGAAAGGCCATCATTGCCTTGTTTCTAACATTAGGAGGAAAACAATCACTCTTTCTCCATCAAGTATGATGTTGCACCAGATTTTAGTAGATGCCATTTATTCAGTTGAGAAAATTTTCTTCATAGACTATTGCGTATTTTTATCACGAATGGGTTTAGGAGTCTGTCAGATGTATTTTCTATATCGTTTGAAACAATCATATGATTTTCGTTCTTTATTAATATGGTGTATTACATTGACTGATTTTTGTAAGTTAAATCAACCTTTCATTCTTGGGATAAATCCTACTGGGTCATGGCATATATATTCTTTTGGTGTAATTCTTTTTATATGTTGCCAGATTCCACTTACTACTATTTTATTGATGATTTTTGCATCTGTATTCATACAGAATATTGGTCTGTAGTGTTCTTTACTTGTGATGTCTCTTTGTCTGGTTTTGGTATCAGGGTAATACTGGCCTCATGGAATGAATTGGGAAGTGTTCTCTTCTTTTGTATTTTTTGGAAGAGTTTGTGAAGGTCTGGTGTTAATTTATCTTTAAATGTTTGATAGAACTTACCAGTAAGACCATGTGGTTTCCTTTGTCCAGGCACTAACTCATGCCCCTCTTTCCTCTCTCCTTCGGGTTACATGTACGTTTGTGCCCTTAATAGTGTCCCACATTTCTCTGAGTCTCTTTATTTTTCTTTATTCTTTTTTCTTTCTGTTCCTCAGATTGCAAATCTCTTTTGCTCAATCTTCAAACTCACTGATTCTTTCGTCAATTCAAATATGCTGTTAAGATAACTTCTAGTGAATTTTTCATTTTAGTTATACTTTTCAACTCCAGAATTTCCATTTGGTTCTCTTTCATAATGCCTATCTGTTAATAGTCTTTATTTGAAGACAACTTGTTGTCATTCCTTCCTTTTATTCTTTAGACATGGTCTCTTTTAGTTCTGTGAACATCTTTACAATGGTTGCTTTGAAGTCTTTGTTTGCTAAGTTCAACATCTGGGCCCCTTCAAAAGTAGTTCCCATTGCCTGCTTTTTTCCCTTGTCTATTGGTCACACTTTCCTGTTTCTTTGTATGTCTCATACTAGTTTTGGTTGAAACCAAGACGATAGATAATATGTCGTAGCAACTCTGGCTATTGATCCCTCCTGGATTTAATGTTGTTTGCTTGGTTCATCTATTTGATCTATTTGATCAGTGACTTGGCTGAACTGGCTTTGCAAAGGCTTTTTCCCTACATTGTGAAGCTGCTGATTGCCTGCTGTTTTTTTTGTTTGTTTGTTTTTTTGTTTTTTTTTGTTTTTTTCTTCTTTTTATCACTTAGCCTAGCTACCCAGGGGTCACTCTTGGGCTCTTGGGTCAGCATAAGCCACTAGTTAGTTGATCAGACGGTTGTGTTAAAGCCCCTTAGCCAATTAAACTTTTTGCTCTTTACTGCTGGATATATGTGTTGCTTGGAGGCTGCCATCACAATTCAGGAGTTTAAGTTTTTGCCCACAGTTCAGCCAGGGACTAGGAGCTTGGGTTTTCCCTCTTCAGTCTCTCTTGAGAAGGCATCCTTGGACATTACACCGTCTTTCAAATTTCCAGGGAGTATATATTTTATTTTTAATCCTGGCTTCTTAGGGGCTACTGTTGGGTTAGAGTAGTTGATTGTTAAGCCAGTTTGGGGTCGGAGGTTGTGCTAAAGCCCCTAGTACCAGAGGGGATTGCTACTTTTGGTTGATCTGTGCATGACCTGGGAATGTTTCTGAGTCTGCTCCACATCCTGCTCCTAAGTAGGTGCTTGCAGGCAGCCTCTCAGGAAGGCTCTTCTGGGCTCTGTCGACCTCCGATCGCTATGCCTGCTGGCTTTCTGCTGCAGCGGAGAAGCCACGCTCCCGTGCAACGGACTCTGTCCTTCTTACCAGGATTTTGTAAATGTCCTTGGGTGAATCTTTCTCTATTGATGTTGCCCCTTAGGTCAAATATCAAATTAATGATCGTTGAATAATTTTCTCTGTTAAATGGTTGTTTGTTGAGGTGAGAATTATCCAAGCTCCTCACCCCAGCATTCTGGAAGTCAGTCTCCTAGATTAATGCATTCCTCCACACTTACCATATACTAAAGTCCCAATTGTTTCCGGATCTCTTTCTGGACACCCTATGTCTTTTTTTCTCAGTGTTTTAATTAATTTATATATATTTTTTAATTGTTTAAAAAATCTGATAGGAAGGTGTGACTCAGAGGGCTCGTGTGGAGCCACCTTGCTAATCCAGGTCTTTCCAGACTCTCGCACAGCGGCCTGCCAGCTGGCCAGTGCCCCACAGGTCCCTGACACAGGATGAGTGACTTTAGTCTAGTATGGAAGTGTGTGGCAGCCCCAGATAGTACTTGAAGATGGTAGCATGGATTGGCCATGAATGGTGGTTTGAATACTCTTCACATCTCATTCTGCTGACCGAGGGGGTAGATCCTTGGGCTTCAGATATTTACTGGATTTCATTTCTTTAGTTCATTATGATTGGCAGGCTGAAAAGTAGCATAGTTTGAAGGGGACTGATTAGGAGAGAAAACAGTGGTTATGGGGTAGATTGCTTTGTTTTGTTAACTACACATAAAAATTGCATTCCTTTGTTGAATCTCAGGTCATTCAGAAAGTCTTCAAGATTTTATTCAGGGCAAGTAATACTGATAAGTATTTACAAAGAAAGTTGTTGCTACTTTTCTGTAGTTTTCATCAGGTTCACATCCAGACCAGCAGGTGCATTCTTTGTGATGCCTGGGAGTAAAATACAGGTTGTTGGCTTGGCTTTCCTGATCCTCCACTTAGTATATGTATGTGTGATTCCTCGCCTGCCTTCTTAAATTGTGTACATTATTTAAGTCAGTGATTGATTTTTCTTTCTTTCTTTTTTTCTTCTTATTTTAGCTTAACTACTGACTTCTAAGTGGCTGATTTTTTTAAAAGTTCCCGTTCATTTTGAGTGCACCATTTTCCCTTTGCCCCTCCATATCTCACTGCACTTTTAACCTGGCCTCTCTGTGTTTGAAAGGAGTGCTGTTTAAGGGTACCACAGTCAGTCCTCATCCGTGTTATAGTGCAGCCATGTATTTCTAGTAAAATTTCAAACTGCTTACAGAATTGTTTAATGTACTATTAACCTTGTAGAAAATATGTCTGCTTTTCAGAATGCAGTGAAGTCCCATTATAATACTATGTGGATTCAGCTATACCAGGGACAGATAGCTGAAATGTAATTACTTCTACCACCACCTATAGCATTCTTGGCTTATAATATGGGCATTCAGTCTTCCCTTTCAGTATCAACATTCTATATCAGCCATATAAGACTCTGAGGGGAGTTTTAAATATTTTTTTTACTATCACTGTATTTAGAATTTAAATATGGGTAAATGGCTTAACACAGAAACATTCTTCTCTTTGTAAAGTTCCTTTTTGTCCTTGTTATCATAATGCTGACATTAGACAGTCCAACTTCTGTTTTACTCCCTGGGCCAGGGCAGGGTCACCGAAATGAGAAGGCAGGAGCCTCGATAAGCCCAAGTATCCTCCGGTCTCATAATGCTCATGAACGTTTTTTAAAAAATGACTTTGCCTAGTTCTTACCAAGAGACAGTCACAGATTCGTTGCGCTTTGATGTGAAGATGAATAAGAGAACATTTAAACAATGTGAAAAATGAAATACTTTTATCAAGAACTTTTTTTTATCAAGAGTACACAGCAATTGTGTGGAAAATAGCATTGCTACATTTGGGACATGGTGCCGGCAGTGTTTGTGTTTCCCGGCACCCTCTCTTTGTGATAAGGCTGAACACACTGGCTGCACCCCAGCTTGAAATGTTCTGAGCTCACTCTGAGTTGTACTTTTTGGGTTTCTGTTTCAGCAGCTGTGGATGGGCTATTTTCCCTTTTGTCAGTCTGACTGTCGGAAACCATGCAGGTACCTTAAAGTTACAATGTTTGCATCTCTTCTTCTAGGGAGATGACAGTCTATCTGCAGTTACCTTTGACTCTGACTTTGAGACGGTGAGTGCAATTGGGGAGTCAGCAGTTTATCCCAATACTGATTCTTTTGCCCTTAAAGAGTTCACTTAGACGTGTAAATAGGTCATTCTCCACATATCTTGTGTTTACAGCTGGAATATAAATTCTGAATGCTACTTGGTATTTTAAAAGCTGTTCCTTAGTTGTATTTGAGTAATGTAATTTTCAAACTCTTGTGCAGAAATTAATCCTGAGTAGGGTTCATTTAAGGCAGATTACTAGTCCATACCCTATGTCTGGGTTTGCCCTGCACCTGCCCACCCCCCATCCCATCCTGACACAGGAGGGGAGGGGAGGAAGAGCGCTCAAGGTGATGCAGCCAGAAGTGCCTGGTGGGTGAAGGCTGTCCTTGGCAGCTGCACCCTCGAGCTGAGCCACAGCTTGGCCTGACAGCCTGGCAAGGAGAGCAGGGCAGAGGCGGCAGGCCCAGTGCTCCAGTGGCATACTGTGGCACCCAGCCTGGCTTCTCTGGGTTTTTTTGGCAAGTCGTACTGGCTAGAAAGCTGCTCTTGTAGTGGACAAGCAAAAGAAGCTTGTCTCACAACAGACCCAAGTCTAGCAAAACCACAGCCCGTGGGCCCGGAGAGAATCCAGCACCAGCAAATCTCATTCCACATTAGCGTTGTGGACTCAAGGAGGAGCCTCACGGGTCCACTGTCTCCCCAAAGGGACCTCTGTCTGCGAAGTTAAGGATTTTACCTCCACATCACTGAGGACATGGCCCCAAGATACTCCCCGGCGGAGTAATGATCCAAACCCAGACTGCAGGTAAAATTCTGCCTGCAGGGAAGAGAGTTCATCGTTTCTGCTGGAGGGGAAGTTGGCCGTGATACCATTTTTTCATGTAGTGTGAAGCAGATGAGGAAATTAATGTTTAGAGGGCTGTATCATTTTCCCCAGGCCACAGAACTACAGGTTGAGCATCCCCTAATTCAAAAATCTGAAATCCAAAATGCTCTAAAATCAGAAACTTTTCGAACACCAACATGATACCACAGTGGAAAATTCCGCACATAAAAACACAAATTTTGTTTTATGCACAGAATTATTTAAAATACTATATAAAATTATCTTTAGGCTATGTGTATAAGGTGTATATGAAACATAAATGAATTTCATGTTTAAACATGAGCCCCATCCCCAAGATATCTCATTATGTATATGCAAATATTTCAAAATCCAAAATACTTGTGGTATTTCAGATAAGGGATACTCAACCTGTATTAAGTAGTAGAACCAAATTTGTACCCAGTTCTGCATTTGGCATCTTGGTTATCATGGGAGACTGTCTTCCAGACTGGGTCTTCCTTTGCTAAACTTTTCTTCCTTAGCGGGATTGCAGTTGACTTATTTACAAAGGTTTCATCTTGCCAAATTCTCAGGAGTGCACAAAGGCACACACCAGTACTCCAGAGCTGGCTGTGAGGACAGTTTGGGTGGGAAACCATACGCCAGGGCGTGGGATCTTCAGTCTGAATGTTAACCCCAGACCCGTTGGTTTTCTGTGATTAGAACTCACGCCCTGCGAGCTCCATGGGCCCTGGCTCAGCCTCCAGCACGAGACGGAGTGCCGCTCCTGGGCCCCATCCTGGGGCCCGTGCATCTTCCTTTGCTCTAACTCTACTGTGTCTCAGTTGAGTCACTTTCCCATCTTGTGGCTCTTACACTCCCTCTGACCCATCCTGAACACAGCAGTGTCTTATGATGGGGACCACTTTTGTAGCTCAAGAAAGCTCAACATGCTTTACATCGTTTATTCTTTCTTTCAGAAAACAAAAAGGAAAAGTTTCCACAAACTTCCACCCACATCACCAAGTAAGTATGACCAGGCCTCCTTTCCCCTTGAGTTTCCACATTTTAACTCTGAGAAGGTTTTTAAAAGCTGTCCTTACTGGTGTCCTGGGAGAAAGAGGAAGCATGTCTTTTCTTTGTACAGTTGGAACATTTGAGACTCGACACTCCAGTCAGTTGGCCCCGTTTGTATGGCGACCTCGGGAGCACATGCTGCCAGAGTCCCTGCCCGTCCCGAGCCACGAGCCACGAGCCAGTTGTCGGCCAGGGCTCCTGCACAGATCCTCACAGACCAGACCAGACCAGACCAGTGTGTCTCGGTCTTTGTTTTCTCTTCTCTTGCTTTCTCACATTGCTTAACTCTTCGGGTTGCTGCTGAGGTCAGAAGATGTTTTTCATCTGGGATTTGTTCCCTGAGAATCAAAGCTGCTCTTCTGGGCCTTGTACTGAGACAGTGTAGATGTGCCAAGAGAGATGGAAAGTTCCGTTTTTCTTTTTTTCTTTTGGGATTTCCCTGGGCTCACTTTGCTGCCAGGATTCTCTCCTTCCTTGTCCTCAGCAGGAGGAGGGCAGCTCTATCCCCTTCCTCAGCAGTGGCCAAGGAGGCAGCTGCCTATCCAGGAGGACTTTGCCAAGATGGGGTGAGTCCAGGTGGCAATAAGAATTCCAGTTTCGTCTGTGTTGCTCCGACACTGCTCTAGTGCACAGTGATCCATGCGCTGATCTGACACTTACAGGTGACATACTGTCAATCCTATAGGAGCTTCCTTTTACCACCCAGAACCTGTGGCCTTCCCTGGCTTCACCATCTGTATATGTGTGTCTATATTTTATATACGTTTATCATATTTTGAATATATTGAGTCTCGTGTGGCACACTCAGAATACATGTGAACTTTCATTCAGGTTCAAGGAAAACATAATTAGAGAGGTAAATTCCTGCAAAGAAAAGAATGCCTGTTATATGTTACAAATAAATATAAACATCAGAAAGAAATTATCTAGCAATTTGGATTTTTGATGTCTGTTCTCTTCTTCCATGGGGATAATTGAGAATCAATATAAAGTAAAAGTCCTATGTTTTTGTTTTAAAACTTTTAATTTTAGAAGCATTTCTGTAAGTCCTTTTTTAGCTTGAAGATAACTAAGGTAAATATCCATCCTCCTTTATTCTTACTGAAAGTCAAGCATTTCAAGTGTTGTGAATAGTAATAGTCAAATTATTTTCATCCCAATCTCTTGAGTGTCGGAATTGTTTTTCTCAACACTGAGACTGGCAGAGCCCTGGAGCAGGGCAGGCACCTGCTCTCCCTGCAGCCAGCCCTGCACTTGGCTCCTGTCCCGGGCTCGCTGGGGCTCCTGGGCTGGGAGCCCACTTAGCCTTTGCCTGCAGGGTGCCACAGCTCAGCTCAGCCCTCCCTGCCGCGTCAGGTCCCCTCACTTGCCCCTCATGTTCTCGTTCTCAGAACTCGGCGCAGGAAAAGTTTCTCTGTCTGGATTTCAAGTGCCCTGAGAGTAGGGACCACAACAAATGGTTTTCTCGAATGCCTTATCAATTCACATATGTGCTTGTAGTTTACAAAGCGTTCCAAGGCTTTCCAGGCTTTCCGCCCTGCCAGCCGCTCTGAAGAGGGCAAGGCGATGCTTCTCTGTTTTCAGAGTTTGATATTTTTCAGGCGATATCAGACACCAGCATATTCCCACCATCCTGTTTTCGTTTTTTCGTCTTCCTTCCCAGCCTTTATCCATATGCACATGTGTTTTCCTGAGGAATCCTGACTACTCATTGATAAATCCACATTCCTTTAGAAGGGAAATGTAATTTTGGGGGCTTTTTTATGCTTATTAATTTGCTTTTATATATGACAACTTAAATATTTAAAGTTTGGTAGGCCTTTAGAATATCTCAGTGATGAGGTGCTTTCACTCGAAAATGTATCGAGTTCTAATATGTCTTTAACTCTCATTCAAATTATAATGGGAAATTTTCCATAAATTGTGAAACCATGGAAAACACTTAGATATTTAAAGTAGTAAACATATTAGACTTAAATTTTCAGGACCTTCTATAGATACAAATTTCCTTGCAATTTAAGATATATAAGAATGTTTTGGCTGGGTGTGGTGGTACACAGCGCCTATAGTCCCAGTGAGCCTGGGTAACTGAGCAAGACCCTGTCTCTTAAAAAAGAATGTTTTATAAGTACCTTAGTTTTTGCTTAAATTTGTCATATTTTATATAATTAAAGAGGTGAAATCCCAGATAAATCATTTTAAAAGCATTTCCCTCTTTTTTTTTTTTTTTGTTGGAGATAAGAATCTTGCTCTGTCACCCAGGCTAGAGTGCAGTGGCATTATCACAGCTCACTGCAACCTCAAACTGCTGGGCTCAGATGATCCTCCTGCCTCAGCCTCCCAGGTAGCTGGGACTACAGGCACACACCATCACACCCAGCTACTTTTTCTCTTTTTAGTAGAGACAGAGTCTCACTCCTGCTCAGGCTGGTCTCAAAATTCCTGAGTTCAAGTGATCTTCCTGCCTTAGCCTCCCAAAGTTCTAAAATTACAGGCATGAACCACTACACCCGGCCACATTTCCCTCATTTCAATGACAAAATCTAGAATGCCCTGGAAAAGTATAATTTTTTTCATTTCTTTTAGATATTTTATATATTGAGCTCTAAATAATAGTACTGTCACTAAGCAGCAAGTTAAAAAAGTATTTACAGTATTAAATATAAAGGATACAAAATTATATTTTCATTGTGATTGTGAAAAAAATATATATACTTGAAAAGAGTTGGATGAGAAATAAATATTGGTAGAATTATAATATTGATAGAATTATTCACATTTTTATTTTAAATTTCCCATTATATTACTTCTTTATAATAAAAGGTAAAAAAGAAATGTATGTAAAATGACTGAATTTTTTATTTTTGCCAGAATGTGTTTATCTGGAGCCATCACAGCCTTGTGAATATTTTATTTTACCGTTTTTGTCTTTCTGAAGCATGTGTGTTGAGGGGCATTATTGTCTTGTAACTCTAAAACCATGCATTGGCTTTTTAGAATCACCCTATCACTCTAAGCCAAGAAAAGTGTCATCCTGGAGGTCCATCAGGACTGCAGCGAGCATGCCGCTGGGTGGTCGAATGTCCTTAACCCCACAGAAGCTGTGGCTGGGAACTCCGAAACAAGGTATGTGGTTGCCCCAACAGAGGCTCTTCCTGCTTAAGAGAAGAATTTTAGAAATTGCAGAGGGGGTGTGACTTGAGATAGCTTTTTAATATTGTTTGAATTACATTGTCTTTAATCTTCTCAAAGACACTGCCTATGAGCCGGGCATGGTGGTGCGCACCTGTATGCTCAGCCTCTCCAGAGGCTGAGGTGGGAAAAGTGCTTGAGCCCCGGAGTTTGAGGCTGCAGTGAGCTACAATCATGCCACTACACTCCAACCTGGGTGACAAAGTAAGACCTCATCTCTTTAAAAAAAAAAAAAAGACATTGAGGCCGGGCACGGTGGCTCACACCTATAATCCTAGCACTCTGGGAGGCCCAGGCAGGCAGATTGCTTGAGGTCAGGAGTTCAAAACCAGCCTGGGCAAGAGCAAGACCCTGTCTCTACTATAAATAGAAAGAAATTAATTGGCTAACTAATGTATATAGAAAAAATTAGCCGGGCATGGTGGCGCATGCCTGTAGTCCCAGCTACTTGGGAGGAGGATTGCTTGAGCCCAGGAGTTTAAGGTTGCTGTGAGCTCGGCTGACGCCACGGCACTCAATCTAGCTTGGGCAACAAAGCGAGACTCTGTCTCAAAAAATAAAAAAAATAAATAAAAGACATTGAATATGTGGACTGTACTTTTATGTCATGTGTAAATGTGGTTTCAAACACAGGTGGGGAACCTGTGGCCTTAAGGCCACATGTGGCCTTCTGGGTCCTTAAGTGTAGCCTTTTGACTGTAGCCTTTTGACTTCTGGGTCCTCAAGTGTAGCCTTTTCAAATTTTACAGAATAAATCCCTTTATTTAAAGGGGTGCAGCAGAGAAAGATGAAGCTGTTATTGCCTCCTTTGGTGCTTAAACAAGAATAATCTTGAAATCTGAAGGTCACAGGTTCCCCACCTGGCAGCTTGAAATTGGACATGGTGGGAATATTTTATAGCATGCCAATGTGTGAAGACTACAGATCAGAGCTTTATTGATTTATTTTTGAGAGCCGGTTGCTAAATATTTATCAGCACACCACTGACTGCTGGTGTCTACTGGTGACTTAAGCTTTCTTCAACCCAGGAAGGCTGATTAGAAATAAAAACCTTCCATTGTGTTTGCTTATACCTGTTGTATTAAATCCATGCACATTCAAACTAGGAAGTCTGACCCAACCCCTGAAATCAAACCTCACCTTGGAGCATGCATGGACCAATCCCCCCAGCAGCACTCCCGACTATCTGACAGAAGCTTTAAGAATGAAGAGGTCAAACCTCAGGCGTTCTGCCAGCAATGGTGAGCATGTGGATGGTGACAAGGTCATGACGAAGGGAAAATCTTCTAGGTTTGAGACATGCTTTGTCAGAGTGGGATTTTTTGGCTTCATGTACAAGCTCCATCAATAGGACATTTTGGAATGTCCTGAGGACAGTGGCTTGTGAAAGTCCATTCTGCCCTCCTAGAAAGTGGATTTCATAGTGTGTGGATAGTGACATTTTGCCAGGCTGCAATTGTCTCCCTAACTTAAACTTAAAGTCTTATTTAAGACTCCCTAAACTTAAAGTCTTATTTAAATTTATTGCATAGATAATATTAGAAACAAATAAAAATTTGCAAATAATAATAAAAAGCCCAATCTCTCCAAAAAGAATTAGTGTGTTTTTATGTTTCTGTATCCTCCCTAGTCTTCTCTGTGTGTTTCCCACCTGCCCTCTTTTTGGGGGACCTCCATAAGGAAGAGCAACTTCCAGGATGCATTGAAAACCTTCTCACCATACCCCAGGAGTGGATTACCTTCCTGCTTTTACTGGCTAGGAGTTATACATTAGGCTTAAATATTTTAGATTTTTAATATATTAGTTATCATTAAAACCAAAGTAAAATTTTACTTTTTTATATTGGAATGGGTATTGAGATGCTATGTGCATTTTTTGTCTGGTTTTTGTTTTGTTTACTATTTAGAATTTAAACATGTCAGTTCTGCTTGTGTTGTGACTCTCTTCTTTAATCCTTTTACTTTAATTAAACTGTGTTCACATCTTTATTTTTCTTTTGCTCCCTCTTTGTATATTGTTTTTATTTTTTATTTATTTATTTTTTTGTTGTTTTTTTCCATCTTGTATTTTTAAAGGGAACCTCTTTGTATATTGTTATCATTTTTGGTTTCCTTGTTTTCTGCGAAAGTATCATGATCAGGTTTAAAACACTGAAATAAGCTACTAGGGATGCTGAGGCAAGAAGATGGTTTGAGGCCCGGAGTTCAAGACCAGCCTGGGAAAGATAGTGAGACTCCATGTCTTAAAAATATGGGAAAAAAAAAAAAGAGCCAGGTATGGTGGCTCGCATCTGTATTCCCAGCTATGCAGGAGGCTGAGGCAGGAGGATGTCTTGAACCCAGGAGTCCAAGGCTGCAGTGAGCTATGATCGCACCACTGCACTCCAGCCTGGGTGACAAAGCAAGACCCTGTCTCTTAAAAAAAAAGTTAAAATAGTTTTCCTCTGCTTTTTTATTTTTCTGTTTTTCTAAAAGGATAATTTTATTATTTATAACTTCCAGGTTATCCTTAAGGTAGAGCCAAGAATTCTTTCTACTTTTCAGATAATCTTTCAAGAGATGTATGTATCTTCCTGTAGGTCATGTCCCCGGGATTCCTGTCTACAGAGAGAAAGAAGATATGTATGACGAGATTATTGAGTTAAAGAAGGTAGTATTTCTATCTGCTCTTTATTGATTTTAATTGGCATAATGATGTATTCATCCTGGCTTTAGAGTCACACCTGAGTTTGAACCATAGGATAATGTCTTAGGAGCTGGGCGACTCTGGTTAAATAAAGGCCTGTAGCACCAGCTGCATGAAAGGCAATAAGATTTACATTCCACCTGTGCTCTACTTCTCTAGCAGGAAGGAGAAGACTGGGTAAGGACTAGATAAACTTCAGAATCCCTTTGTCTCTCGAGGGTTGGCATGACAAGGTCATTTGATGTTATTATCACAGTAACCTTCCGTTTATGTAATTCTTTAGTGTTATCAAGACATCTTACATGCCCTGTCTCAGTCTCTACAGAAGCTCTATGAGATAGGCAGGGGCATTTGTTATAACATCATCTGGTATGAATTTGAGACTCAGAGTAGTTGTCTGTCCAAGGTGAACCAGTAGCAGAACCAAAATTCAAGGTCATCTGCCTCCCAAGGCCAAGACTCTTTATTGCCCCCTGCCATCTCCCGTTTATTAAAGTATGAATTGCACTGAAAGATACCGTTATCATCATCGTCCTGTTTCCAGTCACTATCGTATAAATTGCATTGAAATACATCATCATCATCATCATCATCATCATCATCATCATCATCATCATTACTGCTACCACCACTATCATCACTTTGGTTTTTAATATATTTTTGTGCCCTGGAGAAATTTTCTGGTTTTATTTCCTTCCATAATTTAAGTCTGTTTATAGACCTGCCGTCCCCACTGTTGAGCTGCATCTGAAGAACTGTGTTCAGTCCAGGGCTCACAGGGGGTTAAGCAGGGCATTGGCAGCCAGTGTGTCCAGAGCATGGTGAGGGGTCTGGAAGCTACCTCACCTGAGGAGCCTGGGGAAACACTAGGAGGACCTGGTATAGGCCATTGTGAAAAAGAGTCTTCCATTGGTCTGGAGCAAACACTCAGATTTTAGGTTGTATGAGAAGAACATGCAAACCACAAGGCTGTCTAATGGGACAGTGCTGCCCGAGCAATAAGTATTCCCTGTCTTTAGAGATTTCAGCGACTACCTGTCAGGGATATTGTAAAGCAAATTCTCATTTTGGTTAGAAGACTGTGCTAACTGAAATTTGAGAGTCCCTGAAACTCTGAATAATCACCACAGTAGTACTCTTGGAAGGAATTTTCTTGGGGCTAGAAATGGGTCTCTGGGTAAAATGATACTGACTTACATTTAAATTTACCATCATGGGTTTCTGGGTAAAAGCAGCCTAGACTTCTAAACTCAGAAATGAGAGACTTTTGATTTTAGTATTCTGTTGCTCTGGGATTTTGAGAATCAGAGTGGTTTTTCTGTGGCAAGTAATGCCTCAGTTTGCTATTAAAAAACGAGGATGATAATAGTACTAATTTCATAACGTTATTGTGAGGATTCAATAAAATAATCCATGAATGTGCTTCAATAAAATACCCAATATACTGTAGGAGATCAGTAAATATAGGCCATTTTTCAAAAACTTATTTGAAATAATTTTAGATTCCTAGGAAGTTACAAAGATAGTATGGAGAGGTCCCTTAGATCCTCCATCCAGTTTTCCCCAGTGGTTACGTCTTACTAACTGTAGTGTACAATCAAAACCAGAAAATCGCCATTGGTACAATGTGTGTGTGGTTCTATGTCACCACATGGTTAGACTCACATCAGCACTGCCACGTCAAGGTGCCACAGGGATGTCCCTGGTGCTGCCGCTTTCTAGCCACATGTACCTCTTCCCTTCTTACCATTCCAACCCCTAGCCATCGTGAATCTGTTCGCCATCTCTATAACTTTGGCATTTTGACAATGTTGTGTCAATGGAGTCATGCAGTGTGTGACCTTTGGAGGTTGACTTTTTTCACACTGCATAGCCCTTGACTTAAAAGAAAGAAAAAAATGTGTATTGTTATTGTTGGGTGCAATGTTCCCTAAATATCAGTTAGATACTGTTGGTTAATGGTGTTGTTGAGCTCTTCTGTATCCTTGCAGATTTTCTGCCTAGCTGTTTTATCACTTGTTGAGAGAAGGGTGGGTTTCTTTGTTTGTTTTTTGAGACAGTGTCTCACTCTGTTGCCCAAGCTAGAGTGCAGTGCTGTCATCACAGCTCACAGCAACCTCAAACTCCTGGGCTTAAGTGATCCTCCTGCCCAGCCTCTGGAGTAGCATGTGCCACCATGCCTGGCTAATTTTTTCTATATATTTTTAGTTGTCCAGCTAATTTTTTCTATTTTTAGTAGAAACAGGGTCTCACTCAAGTGATCCTCCCGCCTTGGCCCCCTAGAGTGCTAGGATTACAGGTGTGAACCACTGTGCCGGCCACCGTCTCTTTTAATTTATTTGTTTAGATCATTTACATATACTGTAATTATTTATGAATTAAAGTCCCCCATTTTATTTTTTGTTTTCTGTTCTGTCTGTATACATTTCTCTGCGTTAATTTTTTGTCTCCCTGTAGCTTACTTGAACATTTTTTAGAATTCCATTTTGATTTCTCTGTAGTGTTTTTGAGTGCACCTCCTTTTTATAACCTGTTTAGTGGTTGCTGTAGGTATTCCATTTTATATACGTATGTGTATATACACACACAGACATAAACTCATCACAGTTACCGATATTGACATCTTACAGTTTGAGTAAATAGAAACTTCACCCTGCTTTATGGCCTTCACCCTCCTCAACTCACACATAATTGTCTTAAATTTTTCTTCTATGTATACTGAGAACCATGTCAAACAGTTGTATAATTTTTTGCTTCAATTGTCAAATATAATTTAGATTACTCAACCTGGTACAGTGGCTTACACCTGTAATCCCAGCAGTTTGAGAGGCCAAGTCAGGAGGATCACTTCAGGCCAGGAGTTGGAGGTTACAGTGAACTGTGATCATGTCACAGTACTCTAGCGTGGGTGACAGAGAGAGACCCTACTTCTAAACAACAACAACAACAACAAACAGTTATTTTAAAAATTAATAATATAGAAAACTCAAGAGGAGAAGGAGAGTGTGTTGTATTTACCCATATTTTTTCCATTGTTTTGTCTTCCTTCTTTATATTCCAACATTGCTTTTATCATTTCCTTTCTGTTTAGGGGACTCCCCTTAGCCAGCCTTTTAGATAGAGTAGGTCTATTGGTGACAAATTCTCTTAGTTTTTGTTCATCTGGGAAGAAAATAAGACATTTCCTCTTCACCGCTGATTGACAGTCTTTTCTTTCATCACTTGAAAAATGGTTTTTTACTTCTTCCTGGCCTTCATGTTTTCTGGTGAGAGATTTGGCATCATTCAAATTGTTTTTCCTGTTTAGATAAGTTAAGGTGTTGTATCTCTCTCTCACTGCTTTCAGTATTTTTTATTTCTCTTTATTTTGGAAGTTTGACTATGATGTGTCATAATGTGGATTTTTGGGGGGGCGGTTATCCTGTTTGGGATTTTCTGAGCTCCTCTTGAATCTGTAGGTTTGTCTTTTGTCAAATTTGGGAAATTTTCAGTCATTATTTCTTAAAACCTTTCTCAGCCTCTTTTGTTGTAGTGGCCCTGGTCCCTGATTGGGTAATTTCCACTGCTCTGTCTTCAGGTTCCTTGTTCTTTCATTTGTCCTTTACACTCTTCTTTTGAACCTGTTGCTGAGTGTTTTAAGTTTATTTTTCAGTTCTGTAATTTCCATTTGGTTCTTTCATTTACTATTTTGTTGCTGAGACTTTCTAGTTTTTCATTTGTTTTAAGTGTGTCCATAAGTGGTCACTGAAGTACTTTTATGGTGGCTGCTTTCAATCATTGTAGATTGCTCTAACACCTGCCATCTCAGTGTTGGCATCTGTTGATTGTTTTGTTTTCATTCAGGTTGAGATAGTCCTGGTGCTTGACAAGTGATTGCAGTTGAAACCTGGGCATTTTGAGAATTATGTTTTGAGACTCCAGATACCAGTTAACTTTCATGTTTTAGCAGGCCTCCTCTGACAGTGCTCCGGTGGGTGACGCAGGGGCACCACCTCCTTCCTGCCTGGTGGGGTAGAGGTCCAGCTCCCACACGGCCTTCACTGACACCCACATGGGGGAGGGCTTTTCATTACTGCAGGGATGGGTGGGAGTTCGGGCTCCCACTAACCCTTTGCTGGTACCACCCAGGCTGGGAGAGAAGGACCCCTCACCCCTCATAGTTCCCCACGCAGCCTTCCCTAACGGAAGTCCCGACTCTGCACTGGGCCTCCTCTGAGCCATCACAGCGTGGAAAGGAAGGGCATCTAGGCTCCCCACCAGCCTTGGCTGGCAAGGTGACCACAGCGATTTCTGGGGTTTTGCCTGGGATAGAGCTGTAAGTTACTGGCTGTAAGTTTTCTGCCCCTTTCCTGGTCCTTCTGCTAGAGAGAAGAGACAATTCTTGGGGCTTTTGTGGCCTGTGTGCCTTGACTTTCCAGGTTGTTGCTTTTCCAGCACTCAGTCCAGATGAGGCAAAAAGGAAACTGAAGGCACTCCCTGTGTCCATCCCAGCCCCACTACCCAGCCTGTCTAACTTCTTGCCGCCTGTCAGAGTCCCCGGTGTCTGCATTACACACGTGCCCCGGGTTTTCAGCTCTGCTAACAGCAGGAATAGGGAAAGGCAAATCTGCCGCATACTTCTGGGAGTAGAATTCCCGTTATTAGATTTCCTGTCTTCTTTAGTGGCTGCGCATTAGCCAATTCATTCAGCGAACACTCACTGAGTACCAGTTATCCATCATGCTGCTCAAACCCGTAGGTCTGTCTGTAGCGATCCTGGACACAGTCCTGCCTGCTGTGGCTGCAGACTGTTGCACCAAGCCACCACTCATGAGCCTGCACTTGGATCGTTTCTGGTCGTGGCAACTGGTTTTGCTCAGGCATGCAGTCTCTCTTCAGAGGCCACAAGTTCCTTTAAAGGAGAAGGCTATTCACAAGAGAACCGGCCAGTTCCGATGTGGGTGATGCTGGAAGCCAGTGAGCTGCGGCACAGCCTGACCTAGGCTTTTAACCTCTTGCTTTTCAGGCTTTTGGGTTTCACAGACTAGTAAAAAGTGTTTTCAAGTGAAGACATTAAAAACAAAAATTCAAAACACCCTACCATCACCATTTTATAAAAGGGCCATATAAGTCTGAAATAGAAAGGATATAATTTCAAAATAGTCACAGAAATTGAATAAAATTAATTTTGTGAAAAATTGACTACACAGTCTTTTTTTCCCCTATAACTCACCACAGATTGGTGACATATTCATCCACAGATGAAGATTGGGAGCACTGTTCTCCAGTGGAGCCATAGTGGAGGATCAGCATTTAAAATAAATATTAGCCTTTGATGAGCTGTCGTGATGTGTGTGTGACAAAAACAGGCTTTCTCATGTGGCCATGGAAGAGAATATGTGACACTGGCACTTTCTAGAGCCAGTGTTCACAGCTTTGATTTGTTGGTACATTCTCTAGGACCGTGTTTCTCAGTGAGGGTGCTGTTGGCATTTTGGGTGGGAGAATTCTTAGTTGCTTGGGATTTTCCTGCACGCATAGGTCATTTCACCTCCTCTGGTTCCCACCCATTAAATGCCAGGAGGATCCTTCAGTGCCCCTCCCTGTGATGTCCAGGTGGCCCTGCCCTTTCCCCACTGCCACACACAGTGTCCTGCATGGGAACCAGGCAGCTTTTAAAATTCTTCTCCAACTGAGTGTTTCCCCGGGTGTCTGTGTGTACATTGTGTGTGCATGGGTGTGTGCGTGCGTGGTCCTTCTTTTCTCCAGTCGTTACACATGCAGAAAAACGATGTGGATGTGATGAGGACAAAGCTTCGGCGCTTAGAAGAGGAAAATAGCAGGAAGGATCGGCAGATAGAGCAGCTCTTGGATCCTAGTCGAGTAAGTTCCGGGCCCTTCATGGTGGGCTCCTGCCTGCAGGCATCCGACTGGTGGGGGAAGCCAAACCGAACGCCATCTTCACGTCTCAATCTGCTTACCACAGGGCTCGGATTTTGTTCGGACTCTGGCAGAGAAAAGGCCTGATTCTGGTTGGGTGAGTATAGTCTCCAGCAGGAAGAGAGCCTTCCACGGAGGCCCGGTTACTAGGAACGGCCACTGGCACAAGAGGAGTAGCAGGCGGAGGGAGGGGCACAGGACTCCCCGAAACTGTTCTCCGTGGCACCGAGGGGATTACCAGAAGACACTTCAGGAGTTGTCGGGAGGAGCAGGGAGCCAGCAGGCTTACCCCAGAGGCCAAACCAAACGCTGTAGAAAAAATGGGCAACTACCCCACCGTACCTGAAAAAAAAAATACATCATGCTTAACAAATGATACCAATTTAAAACAAGGAAGCACCTGTCCTGTGTCCCTTGGTGGGTGCGCTCCAGGAACCAGGGGGTGGCTCTCACTCCAGTCGGCAGCACTAACTGTCCCCAACAAGAGTTAGCAGTGAGGTCACTGCAAGTCTCACCTATGACCTGCTAACAGTGTTGACGCAACTGGGGCCTTCTTTCTGGGGTCCCCACCACCAGCCCTTTCCCAGCACTTCGTCCCAGGCCTCCTCCTCCCCCAGCAGGACCCAGAAGCTCCCTGCCTTGCCTCCTAGGCCACAGCAACTCTTCTCAGTGTGTCTTTGCTAAATATGTCCTTTTTATATAAATAAAAGATGATTTAGGGAAAAAAAAAAATCAGGGAAGCAAAACCAAATAGAATGAAGCCTTTAAATAGATACAGATGCCCCCGCCCCTCATATACTATGTAATAATATGTAACAAATTCAAGGAACTAAATGATGCAAAATGGAGCCATCTGGTTAGCACGTGGCAATAAACCACAACAGTTGGAGGAAAAGGTACCTCAGTGGGCTTCAGCTGAGTCAAGGATGTACTTTTGGGAAATGCCAGAAGAAAACAAAGGGATACAATTTTGAGGTTATTGAATACAAAGAATAAGATAACATTAATGATATGATTAATGGATTTGATAACATGAAATTTATATAATAAAAACCCATAAGAATAAGATGTATTGGGGTGGAGGAAGGATTATTGAACAAGACAACAAAGTTTTCTGTTCAGAATTTATAAGAATGCTATATAAATCCCTAAAAAGCAGCAGTCTGCTGTAAAATAGAATATATAGACTATATAAACATTATATATTTAGTATACATGATTAAAGCCTAGTTCTGTATCTAGAACAACACAAAGTAAATTCTTAACAAACGCTTGTGAATGAATCCATATGTTTCCACAAGAAAATATTTTTTGGATAATAGCAAATCCTCAACATTGCGGAGTTCAATATTTACATGTACATGATCTCATTTGGTTTTTTGTAATAGGGACTTCAATCTCAATTTTTAAAACTGAAGTTAAGAGATTGGGTTACTAGTAAATGACCAAGGTCTGTGAAGGAAGGGGTGGGGTCTGCCTCAGTCCCTTGCATTTCACTGGCAGTAAATACTTGAATGAATAAATTATTTTTATTACTATTATTATTTTTGAGACAAGGTCTTGCTCTGTTACTCAGGCTGGAGTGCAGTGGCATGATCATAGCTCACTGCAACCTCAAACTCCTGGGCTCAAGTTATCTTTCTGCCTCAGCTCCTGAGTAGCTGGGACACTAGGCATGTATCACTATGCCTGGCTAATTTTTTAAAAATGTATTTTGTTTTCTTTTTTTCTTTTTCTTTCCTTTTTTTTTTTTGTCACTGATGTAAAGCTCATAAAAAATTTATTTTGTAGAGATAGAATCTTGCTATGTTGCCAAGGCTGGCCAGGAAATTATTTTAAATTACTATGAGTAAAATCTCACACCTAAAAGTAGCAAAATTAACACAATCAAAACCAATATTGGCAGGGCTGAGAAAATGTATGCTCAGAACTTAGACACTGCATTTTAAGTTATTAATAGTATGACTGTGCAAGGCAATGATATTTAAAATTGCGCCTACTGTTATCTAATACTGCTCTTTTTAGGACTGTGTCTTAAGAAAAGAATCTAATACAGAAAGCTATTTGCACAGAATATTTATAGCTGCCCATAAATTGAGAAAATTGAGGCGAGATCATTCAAAGTGGAATATGCCTATCTCAGAACATTTTTATAAAAGAATTTTTTAAAACAATATACAACAGTACAGCTATTTACAAAAATGTCTACTTGATTAATTTCTGTGAGCTAGAAGTCTGTAAATAATGGGTACTTTTATAGAGAAAAGACTGTACTTTTGTTCTGATATCTTTTATTGAAGTTTATTAAAAGAAATTCTAGATCATAGGGCATGTACAGTGTTCATTTTAATACCCACAGCAAATTGTCCTTCCGGGTGGCTGTGCCCTGTGATCTAACATTTCTACCTGTTATTATCTGCCCTCAAGAAACATTTGCATTTTGTGCTTTGGGCAGTTAGGAAAAAAAAGAAAGAAAAGAAAAACATTTGCATTTGCATATGTGCACCCGAAGGCCTGGCCAAGGATTTCTACTGAAGGATTGATTATAACAACAAAAGTGGTTACAACTTAAGCATCTGTCAGTAGGAGAATGGACAGACACACTGTGGTGTGTCATGCTGTGGGGACTGACACAGATACACGGGGACTGCAGGGCTGGATCACCAGGAGGGCTGTGGAGTGTTACATGTGGTAGAGTCCCGCTTCTGTAAATAGCAAGCCCTAGTTCCAGGAGCACGCACACAGACGTGCGCGTGATAAAAGTGCGACTGGGCAGGCTGTATTGATAACAGGATTTAGCTGGGTGAGGAGGGGAGTGGCAGGGTCAGAGTATTTTAGCCTTGTCTATAATGTCTTCATTTTTTTAAAAGAAAATATGTATTACTAACATAATTTAAAGCTACTTTAAAATCCAACTATATAAAAAGTTGTCTATTCAAAAGAAAAAGGATGTTCTCTCTCCAAACGAGAGATGCACAGAAAAGGAAGTGACGAGACCAATGGAGCTGTTCTTCCTCCCCCAGGTGGAGGTACAGGGTTTCATCGGGACCCTCCCAGGCCACTGTCCCCATCAGCCCTGCTTGTTCCATGGGAAGACTGAGCGCTGAGTTGCCCTGGGGGGCTAGGGGCAGTGGTTTGTCCACCTAGTGACCATGGTGGCCTCCTTTAAATACCTGAGGGCACATGCTGCTCCTCCCAGGCATGTGCTGTACTCAGGGGAAGGCTGTCTGTTGGTGTGACTGAGGTGCCGCCTCCTGCACTAGCAGGGTGTTGTGCCCCCTTGGTCACCCACCCAGCACCACACAGTGAGTGGGCAGGACAGCGGGGACCCATCTCTCCTCACTGAGCCTGTGGTCTGCAAGAGGGGATGGTGCTCGGCAGGGACGATGTGCAGAGCTACAGGTCACCCACAGAGGACAGCAAGCCTGGCTTAGGGACCTGGGCAACTGAGTCTCGGGAGGCCAAGGACTTTGGAAACGGCTAGACTGGACACAGTGCTCTCTCAGCAGGTCGTGAATGGGCTGAAGCAGAGGATCCTGAAGCTGGAGCAGCAGTGTAAGGAGAAGGACGCCACCATCAGGTACGGCCTTGCTGCTCCCTGCTCTACCACCCTCCTGCCAGGCTCATCCCCTGTCTCCATTCCCACCCAAAAAATGGAGGTCTATGGAGCTGCCTTTTTTTTTTCTTTTTGGTATTATTTGCACTCCCTCCAAATTTCGTTAAGGAACAGTATTCCCCTTTAACTTATTGTAGTTAAGAGTGCTTTCTCTCCTTAGTGTTCTGTGGACCACTTTTTATTTCCAGGATGATTTAAGTCACCTGCTGTCCTTGTGCTGGTTTCAATATGGCTCCTAACATTTCTTTACCTGTCTCTTTAGTGTGAAGGGAGAGCCTTTCTCCCTTATTTAACCACATCGGTACGAGCGTCGACTATAGTCAATAGCCACAGATGAATGCGCACAGCTGAGCATCGACTTTAGCTGACAGCCATGATATGACTTTTCTAATTTTTCATTTATCAAAATAAAATTGTGAACATTTAAAAATATATGTATATATGTATATGTTACCTATAAACATATATGTATATGTTACCTATTCTGATTTGTATTACAAGTAAAGCTGCCTGTAAAGTAAAACAAGCTTTCAGTGCTTTAAAGCTTTCCTCATCACACAAGAGCAAAATGGATTCGTCATCAATGCACAGCACAACTATTGTGCGGAATATGAGTGCCGGCTGTGGGCACGGTTTCGCGGCCGGTGAGCGCCGTGCCGAAGTGCTTAAGGAAAACTGAGGCAACACGTCTCTTGCCTCAAGTCTCATATTCATGCTGTGATAGTTTCCCCCCTCGTTCGTTTCTTGCTGAATTTTGTCAACTTAAAATAAGTGTGATTATTTGCTGATTTCTTCTGCGTTTCAGTGCTGAACTGTGACTTTTCTTTCACTTCTGTGTTGATGCCTTTTATCTGAAGCGTGCTGTGTGTTTAGAGCAGATGACGGCACTGACAGCACAAGGGGAAAAGTGATTCTCTTTTCTTTGCAAAGCTAGTTACTCTCCCCACCTTCCCCAAAGGTGCTCTGTCCTCTCGGTTCTGAGGTTTTCTTCACCATTAATCCAGTATTTAAAGACAACACCATATTTAGAGAAGAATATATTTAGGAAGAGCCTGTTTTCTCACCTTGGGAAGTGGCTGGTCTGACACAGAAGGGACACTTCTGTATGAGGAATTCTCCTGTCAACCTCCAGACAACTTATCTGTTCAAGGCCATAAACCAATTGAGGGGTAGCTCAGGGTTTTTCCTGCCCATCCTGGTTCTCTTCCAAAGCCTGTCCTTCTCTGAATGTTCTGGGAAACTCTGGTCCTCTTACTTTGTCCCCTGGGAATGCTGGCACTGCCACGTTAACTCTGAACTTGGGTTTACAGCAAACTCCAGACTGATATGAAGACCACCAACTTGGAAGAGATGAGGATCGCCATGGAGACATACTACGAGGAGGTGTGTGTTCCTCTCAGCGGTGCATTGGGCAAGGGCGGGATGGAGTATGGGGGGAGAGTCTGCTCATGGCTAGGGTAATGAGCTGAGGCCAGGTGGCAGCCCCAGGGCCACACTCTTGGGAGCCTGTTCTCTTTCAGCTTGACTTAAAAATAAATCACAGTGGCTGAGCGAGGTGGCTCACGCCTGTAATCCTAGCACTCTGGGAGGCTGAGGTGGGAGGATCACTCAAGGTCAGGAGTTTGAAACCAGCCTGAGCAAGAGCGAGACCCCGTCTCTACTAAAAATAGAAAGAAATTAATTGGCCAACTAAAAATATATAGAAAAAATTAGCCAGGCATGGTGGCGCATGCCTGTAGTCCCAGCATCTCGTGAAGCTGAGGCAGTAGGATTGCTTGAGCCCAGGAGTTTGAAGTTGCTGTGAGCTAGGCTGACACCACGGCACTCTAGCCTGGGCAACAAAGTGAGACTCTATCTTAACAAAATAAAAATAAAAAAAATCACAGAAACTTAGTTTTTACTTCATACTGCTAGAGCAGTAATCAGGAATCTGATTACAGATTTTTCAGAGGAAGGTCTTCATGCTCGTTCTGTGTTTTTAATGCATTATAATTTGATATTTACAGATTCATCGTCTCCAGACTCTCTTGGCAAGTTCTGACACTACAGGAAAGAAGTATGATGATCTGTTTGGGAGCCAGGTCTCATGTGTTGTCCACATATTGTGGGAGCTACTCTCAGAGCAGTGTAGTCATCGTGGGGAAATGGCACACGCTGCCCAAATTTTGCAGTAGTGCCAATGCTACACCTGTCTTACTAATGCTAGTCTTACTAGAGTTGAGATGTTTCCATTAGGGGTGTTTACAGATGTTCCCTTATAACTACCATTTGTTGACAGCTGGCATGTGTTAGTCAGTGCTCCATGCATTAGTTGTATATTCTATATAGCATCTTCTAGCTTAGAATTAGGAAATTCTGTTTGTCAAAGTGTATCTACCTTATTAGGAAGACACTTAATACAAGTACAAGTTTATTTTGTCACTTAAAGTTTTCCCAAGTAAGTTTATTAGGAGAAATGTCAGGGTTCTCCTTATTTTGTAGATTTCCCATATTCCTTTTCTGAATGATGTGATACTAGCTAGGCTTTTAACAAATTCTGGAAGGGTGATCCCTTATAGATTGGGCTGTTTCACTGGCCTCTGCAGTAAAGTCCTAACATTTATGGAGTGTTTACACTGTGCCAAGGGGATGATTTTCTCTCTCTCTCTCTCTCTCTCTCTCTCTCTCTCTCTCTCTCTCTCTCTTTTTCCATCCCTAGTGGTTTAAAACAGTGGTTGGAAATATTTCTGTAAAGGGCCAGATAATAAATACAGCTGATTCTCATTATTCCCTATACTAATAGTCTGTGAAGTTTCTGTGAACATCAAATTAGCAAACACTAAATCAGTGCTCCTAGGGGAATTATAGGGTTCACTTCCTTTGAGCCTCTAGTCACAATATTTTATCAACTGATCAATACATAACCTGTTTTATTTGTGTTTCTGTTTAAAGACACCTTATTTATCATATACTGTGGATGCCTTAATGTTGGACTCATGGCAGCTCTATAATTCCTGCCTAGACGAAGCTTGTCTAACACTCGTATGTTTTCTGTAGGGCACATCACAGCCTTCTAGAGCTTAGAGGCACTAGACAGACTCAGCACTGTGGTTCCAGGCTGTATTAAATGGCAAAGTCACCAATACAAAGCCAAAAATGTAAAAGATGTGGCATTGAGTAGACTGCAAAAAGGACATTTGTTCACAGTGTGAGCATTTCCTCATTCAGCAAGTCAGCGACACATTTTTCATCGCTCTGTGCATGTGCGTGAATTCCCATAAAAGCCCCATGACTAGTGATTTTGGGGTTACAGATCAATTTTAGCTAGTAAACAAATTTGGAAATATGGACTCTATAAATAATGAGGATCAACTATATTTTAGACTTTGTGGGATAAGAATTGAAATCAAAGCTATTACACAGCCGGGCGCTGTGGCTCACGCCTGTAATCCTAGCTCTTGGGAGGCCGAGGCGGGCGGATTGCTCAAGGTCAGGAGTTCAAAACCCAAGAGCGAGACCCCGTCTCTACTATAAATAGAAAGAAATTAATTGGCCAACTGATATATATATAAAAAATTAGCCGGGCATGGTGGCGCATGCCTGTAGTCCCAGCTACTCGGGAGGCTGAGGCAGAAGGATCACTCAAGCCCAGGAGTTTGAGGTTGCTGTGAGCTAGGCTGACGCCACGGCACTCACTCTAGCCTGGACAACAAAGTGAGACTCTGTCTCAAAAAAAAAAAAAAAAAGCTATTACACAGCTACTTAATATAACAAGAGAAAAATAGCTTTCCACAGAATTTTTAGTGGTGACATTTAAAAAATAATACTAGTAATTGAATACAATATTTTGTTATACAGGTTTACTAATGATAAGAATAGAATTCTATCTTAGGGGTTAACATTTTGCTTATATGAGGTTCAAGGTTATTGTTACTTATTTGATTGCAAGAATTCACCTTCAGAAACCACGCTGATCTCACAGACCAGGCAAAAACAAACTTTGATTTGCCTACCTCTCGTTGAAAACATTTATTAAACCAGTTTAGAAATTCAAACCTTAGACCCTTGATCTGGCTATTCCTAGGTCTGCGGTGGAGAAGAAGATGGGTGTTAAGAAGCAGAAGAAGATGAGCAGTGCTCTCCTGAACTTGTCTCGGAGTGTCCAGGAGCTGACAGAGGAGAACCAGAGCCTGAAGGAAGACCTGGACCGTGTGTTGAGCAACTCTCCTACTGTCTCCAAGATAAAGGGTATCTTCCCCAACGCCACTTGAGGAGGGAGATGTGAGGAGAGAGGTCATGTCTCTTGTTCTATGAGGGAAGACAGGGTGGCTGCCACAGTGAGTCCTGACGCAGGGCAGATGCTGGCCTGACATGTGCTGTGTGAGCAGCCCTTCCTCCCTTCAGACCTAAGGACCCGAATGCATGCCACGCAGTGTCCAGGCCCCAGTGGTAGAGTCACATGCAGACATCCCTCATGGAGATGCTGTGGTGAGGGGAGGAGTTACTGAGTCGAATCCATATCAGGTGGTAATGGGTGCTGTGGAGAAAGGTGGGGGAGGAGAGGGAGATAGCAGGTTTGGGGGCTGGGGACAGTGGTGTGCAGCCACACACAGACAGTGTCACCAGGAAGGCCCGACCAAGACAGTAACTGCTGAGCATGGCCTGGAAGGGGTGAGAGCCAGCCATGCAGGCAGCTGGGGGCAGTGCCCAGGCTGGGAGCAGTGAGTGCAGACAGAGGCCCTGGGTGCTGGGAGAGCAGTTGGTGATGGAGACTGGTGGAGTGTGGTGGCCTGAAGGTCTGCTGGGGCAGGTGCCGTGGGAGGGTCATGGAGAGGACTGCGGAGTCTGCTCTGCTTCCCAAGGAGCCCTGCTTCTGTGCTGGGAGTGGACCATGTGCAGAAGGGGGACGTTGGCAGGCAGAGGCCTCTCCCCTTGCCCTACTGAGGGGCCTACTGGCCTGGGCCAGGGTGGTAGCAGAAGTGGTGAGAGGGGTTGGGTTCTGGGTGTACTTTGAAGGTCTGGCTTATGGGAAACTGGGAGGTTGGGTATAGCCTATGAGAGGAGGAGGAGTCGGGCTCCAGGGGGTTTTATCTGAGCAACTGAAATGACAGAGCTGCCATTTCCTGAGGTGGAGAAGGCAGAGGAGCAGGTGTGGGGAAAGGGGGCAGTGGGGTCTGAGTCGGGGGGTGGGTGGCTGGCATTGTATGTGTCTGGGGCTCTGGGTGGAGGCCTGGGCTAGGCACTGAGCATGCAGCTCGCAGTGCATGGATGAGACCAGTGGAGCCACCTGGCAAGTGCATGTAAGGAGAGGGGAGGAGAGGGTTGGGGCAGGGTGCATAAAGGTAGAGGCCGGCAATGAGGTGGCCGGGAGAGCCAGGCATATGGAAACCTGGACACAATCGAAGGGAGGAAGGCAGGAACATGAGAACTGAATGCTGAGCTTTGGATTTAGCAAAGTGAAGTCATTGGTAACCTTGATAAGAACCACCTTAATGGGCTGGTGAGGTCAAAGCCCCAGGAGCAGAATTAGGAAAGAATGTCACGCTAATGACACTTGGAGACTGTTAGTACTGATAACTCTTTACAGCAAAGGGTACAGAGAAGTCGCTGTGTTGAGGGAATCCCTTGGAAGGCAAGAATCTGCCTGGATGGGTCTTGTGGCTCAGCTCTAAAGCTGCTGGGCCTGTGGATGGGACAATGTCAGGCCCTGCCTGAGATGGGTGGTCAGAGCTTAAGTGCCCATTAGGACTATCCTTCTGAAACCTGTTGCTTCCAGCAGGTTATGTGGAGTGGAGCAAGCCTAGGCTGCTGAGGCGCATTTCGGAGCTGGAAAAGGTGGGTGGCATCTCAGCAGCACCCTGCCATTCTGGGCAGCATGTCCTATGCAGCGGGGATGCAGACTTAGAGAGTGAGATGGGTCACGCAAACATGTAAACCACAGCTGTCCACCAGGCGGCACAATGTGCAAACAGCAGAGTGGACTTCCCCGGGTCTAGACAAGGCCTGAAGGTGTGTCTCTCGGCCCTCGTCTTCCTGATGGTGAAGCCACATGCCCATATTACTCATTGGGCTTTTGTGTGGCCTCAGTGGATACATGTGACCCTAAAGCCTTTAGCAGCCAAGCCTGGGACATACATATTATGGGTTTTCCACTGCCAGTCATTCACCAGCCTGTTTTCCTCAGTGCTTGTCTAATATATGAATTTGGAGAAAACTGTGTATCACACTTTGCCATCCAGAAAATTTGTGAGATTAACATTTCCTTATATCCCCCATGTGAATTTGCAAACTAGGAATCAATCTGATTCTATTGGGATGGGCCAGAAGTGTTGACAGCTTTATATTTTAAATATGAAGTTAGAGCTGTCTCTGTTGTTGGGCTAAGCAGAGTAGACCTAAAGGAGAAAATGTTTATAAAAAATAATTTTACATATTTATCAAGTAGAAAACTTAAGTTTTTATAAATAGTCAGTATTTTAAAAATAAACCTTGTTAGGAAATGAAAGAACACAGAGGTGGCTCAGAGTCCAGTGGGGAAGCATGTCTCCACTGAGAGCACTGAGGGTGGCAGGCGGACACTGGGGGCTCAGGTCACTTTGCTGGCAAAACTGGAAAAGCATTTGAGATTGAAAATGTACAGGTCCAAGATTTCAAACATTCCAGGAAAGTAGGGTGAGTGAGCACAATGTAAGGTAGCTTCTGAATTCCCCTCATGCCCTCCTTTCTCCGATTTATCTTGGCTCCCTGCCCCAGGAGGCATCTGCACACTCCCTCTTCTAATCCAAGAGAGCTGTACTGGGCAGTTGCTGTCCCAGTAGATTTGCATTGGCTAGCATCTGCCAGGCAACTCAGTCACCTGCCTAGGCATTTCCTGTGCTCCTGCGGCAGACTTGGTTTCATTTTGTTTATTGTCTCTTGTCTGGGTTTCATAAATGGAAAGTAAAAATGAGCAATGATGTCTAACCAGTGCCTGTGTTGCCTCCAGAAAATCAGTTCGATGGAGAACTCGAAATCAGACACTTCAGACCTGGCCAAATCCAATCTGCTATCTCGTCCTGCATCGAGCTCCATGATGCACAGACAGCCACGAGGGGATCGGGACCGCCAAGAGGACCAGGAGCATCTCCGAGGGGCCCTGAGAAACCTGAAGGGGGAGCGGAACGCCCTGCAGGCACAGCTGCAGGAGAAAGAGTAGGCGCTCCTGGTGCCCATCCCACGCCCCTGCTCCCCATGTAGACTGTTGCTAGGGTTACACTGCTGTGAATTTAGGGAAATGCTCAGCTTGTAATAGTTATTACATGAATATTTTTATACAGTTCTAAAACTTCTTACATTTCAGTTGTGAAATAAAGGCAGCTCTAGTGGTAAAAAGAAGATCCTAACTGACCATATTGTGTCTTCCTAAGTGTGGGTGGGAGCACCATTAAATCTCTACACTCTGTTCCAGAGGGATCTTCCAATTGTTTGTTACAGAGGAACTTACTTTCATTGATTTGTGCAAAGTCAATTAGATCTTATGCAGAGTGGTTTTAAAATTCAGTAGTAAGTTTATAACTTATGATCTATATATCAAATAAGACATAAATGCTATAAAATATTCAGTGCGACGCTAAGAGTTGGAAAGGCCAAGCCTTGCTGTGTGTTCTTTGGTTTCGTGATCTGTAGCCCACTTAAAATTCAGCATGGCTCCTGCCTCCCTGCTGTTTGCTGTGTCTTCTTTAGTTCTCTAGCTCTGTCATGAGAAAGCTAACCCCAACCCTCTTCTGAGGTGATTGAGATGATATTTCTCTCTCCAGTTTGCAGTGACTTGCTACTCAGAGTGTTCTGTGAAGCCAGTAGCCCCAGTGTCACCTGGCAGCAGGTTAGAAATGCAGGATCTCAGGCCCTGGCCCAGGCCCTCTTACCCACACTCTGCACCTAGCGAGATCCTAGGTGGCCTGTGTGCACGCCACGTCTGAGAGGATTCTGCAGTGCTCTCAGCCTGCTAAGTCTTGCCACCTTCTGTTTACAGCAGAGGCAGATTCCTCCACACTCCACTGTGTCTCACCTCAATCAAAGTGTCACGGTGCATGTGTGTACATTGATAGGTTCTTAAAAATCAGTATTTCATGATAAGGTTTTATAATTAAGCTAGTCATATTGAAAGGTAAATACTTCTGGAATTATCTATTAAGCAATCACATGACATGATAATAGCTACCCTTTATTGAGGCCTTACTGTGTGACGGGCACTCTGCTAAACACTCAAGTAGTTTTATCTCATTTAATGTGGAGATTAAGGAGGACCTTGAAAAGTTAGGTCACACAGATAGTAAGCAGTGGATCTGAGGTTCAGATGGAGGTCTCCTCTAAAGTGAGTTTGGGGACTTGAGAAAACCCATCTGGAAGGGTCCAGCCAGAGGTGCCTGGGTAGCATGCCCTGTCCTCAGGCTTGGTGCAGGCAGCACCACAGCCTAGGCCAGCACAAGTCCCTTCTCTGCTCAAACCCTGCACTCACCTCCAGCACACATATGGCAGGTGTGAGCTATGTGCTGAGTTGTGTGACTGCTGCACTGGTGTCCCCCGCTCAGACTGTGGGGCCCAAAAGGGCAGGACCTCGACTGGTTTTACTCCCATCGGTCCCTGACACTTGATGGTCCCTCATACACAGTTGGTGCTCAGTAAATGGGAGTCAAGACCCTGAGGTGTGTTCTCGGCTCTGTGTGATTAGAAGTAAGGGCTCTTCTTGAGCCTTCTGCCTTGTTGTCCATGGTCCTAAGGAAAGGAGTTGAGTGACATTATTTTCCTGAATTGTCTTCCTGCTGTGTGACGACCTTTTGCTTTAATGAACACTGCAATGTCCCAATTCTGTGTACTCAGGCTGGAAGTGAAGCAGCTGCTGCTGACGAAGGCTGACTTGGAGAAGGAGCTGGAAAACGCAAGAGAAGACAAGAAGGAGAGAAGAGAACGAGAGGAAGCTTTGAAGTAAGTGACGAGTTCTGAAGAGAATCGCATGTTCCAGACTTTTCCTGCTGCCACGTACTGCCCCTCCCACCCCCCTGCTCTCAGCATCACTTCCAGAGTGGTTTTTATGAAGGTCACACTCCTCTTCCTAAATCTTTCAGTAGTTTTCTGTGACCTTCAGAGTGAAAACCCAAACTCTGGAAAAAGGCTCTTCATGATTAGGCCCGTGTTTGCCTGTTTGTGCCACATGGCCAGCTCCTCGCCTGCCTTCCACTCTACTTAGCCGCCCCCGCCGTGTCCGAACAGCTGCGATTCACACCTCTGTGCTGGGCTCTGGTCAGGAAGATGAGGTTACCTCTTCAGGGGGCGCCTTCCATGCTCCTCCGTAATGGCGCTGTTCACAAGAGCCAGGAGGTGGAACCACCCCAGTGTCCCTCCCTTCCACCCCAGTGTCCCTCCACTGATGAATGGATAAACAAGCAGAGCTGTCCATACAAAGGAATAACAAGGAAGGGAGCACTGACACACTCTGCAACACAGATGAACCTCGAAAACATGGACAGCAAGAGAAGCCAGACACAAAAGGCCGCATAATGTATAATTCTATTTATATGAAATGTCCAGAACAGGCACATCCATAGAGACAGAAAACAGAGTGCTGTTGCCAGAGTTTGGAGGAAGGGGAATGGGAAATGACTACTAATAGGTATAAGGTTGCTTTTTTGGGGTGATAGAAATGTTCTAGAATTAGGCCAGGCTCAGTGGCTCATGCCCACAATCCTAGCACTTTTTGAGGCCAAGACAGGAGGATCACTTGAGGTCAGGAGTTCCAGACCAGCCCAAACAAGAGTGAGGCCCTGTCTCTACAAAAAAATTTAAAAATAAGCCAGGCATGGTGGTGCACACCTATAGTCCCAGCTACTCAGGAGGCTGAGGCAGGAGGTTTGCTTGAGCCCAGGAGTTTGAGGTTGCTGTGAGCTAGGCTAATGCCATGGCACTCCAGCATGAGCAACAGAGATAGACTCTGTCTCAAAATAAAGAAAGAAATGTTCTAGAATTGGATAATACTAAAAACCACTGAATTATACACTAAAATAGTATATTTTATGTTATGAATTTTATCTTAATTTTTTAAAATGCATCAAAAGCTAGATTAGAAAAAAAAAAATAGAAAAAAAAAAAGCTAGATTAGAAATCTGAGCAGAAATATTTAGCACTCAGAATAATTAGTAAGACACAGATTACTGGAATGAATAGAACATTTCATTTTCAGGAGAAATATGGCTAAATTTTGTCAGAAGGCTGGAATTAAAGTAACTTAGGGCAAGTATGCAGAGATGAGTTATTTTTATTACTTTGCTTTCAGTATGTGTAATAAGGACATAAATTATAATGCCTTTCATTCATATTATTTATTAAAGATTCCAGTGATACCTACTTATTTGTCATTCATGCAATGAATTTTTTTTGAGCCCTTATACCACTTAAGGAAGGATGCTGGGCCCTGGGCATCTGCAGCCCTGCCCTTGTGGGGCATCGGTGGGGAGATGCAAGAGAAAGTGCCATTCTGCAGCAGGGTGTTTGGTGCAGTCGGGTCCCAGCTAAGGACCCCCATCGCTCAGGGAGATGTGGCCTCACCAGCTCTGTGCAGGCCATGCAGCATCTGTCTGTCTAAACACAGACTGCCCATCCTAATATGCAATGGCCTTCATCACACAGGGACAGTAAAGTGTCGTCTTTTCCTTTTCCACATTAGAGAGGAAATTCAAACACTTACCAACAAGTTTCAAGAACTGCAAGAAAGTAAGAAAGAAGAGAAAGATGATCCCGTGGAAACTACTCATGAGGTACAGTGTGGCTATATTTTGTTTAGTCTCTGTTTAGGCATGGTAGGTCTTTCCGCTGATACATGGCAGTTCTGGTTGCTTTCATACCCAGAGGTTTCTCTGACCATGGCATTTTTCCCTTTGTCATCACAATCGATTTCTATAACTTAAATCATAGGTAGAGAAGTCTGGAGTTCTGGATTAATTATCAGTGAATTGACTTCCCAAACTAATATTTGAGTCTTAGATAGTTGAGCTGGTGAACGAAGATCTTCCCCAAACCTCAAATGTGCAAAAGGTTTAGTTACGCCGCAAGGGGTTGTCTACTGGGAAGGTGAGAGGGAGTTGGGAAGGGCCTGGAGTGGAAGGAACGAATACTTAGCAAGGCCTCCTGCACTGACTGGACCAACATGCATTTTCTCCTCGAATGTGAGCTCCAGGCCTCAAAGGACATGTGCTGTCTGGGCAGGGTTTAGTCTCCCAGTCCCTCCCTGCCTGTCACTGAGCTTCTCACTTGTTCAGTGTTGAGTGATTGTTTGGTGAGGACCTTGCAGACAGCTGAGAGGTAACTCTAGGCTAACATGCGTTTCCTGCGTTTCCACATACACTCCCCGGTGTGTGTGGATGCCATGAGGAGGGGCTGAGGCTCAGTTTGTGGCTGTGAGAGTCCCCAGCCCCCCTGCATCCCTGGAGGAGCAAAGGCCACCCTCTGCTGGACCAGTGCTACCTGCACTTGCACCTCCGGTGGCTAGCAGTGCCTCCTCACTAATCCTGCTTTCCTGTAAATGGATTCTTCAGATGACAGGTGTGATCTGATACCTGTTCAAACAAAAACCAAATAACTTTGGTGTTAAAATACTGCAGCTGCAGTTTGCAAATCATGCAGCTGCCTATGGTGCAAAAATGTGACCGATATGACCAGCTGGTCCAGGATACATTCACACTGAGCACATGAGGACTGATTAGAAGCAGGTAAAGAGTCTGTTACAGCAGCCTATTTACAGTCCCTTTTCTGTGACCCTTTTTCTGGTTGTTAAAGATCTGACTAATACCTGGGATTCCACCAGGATGTCAGGTCTTTACCTTGACTACTCATTTTAGCCATGAGATTCTGTTTCAGAAAATCACTCACTGTTCCCATGGCAGGTGTCCGGTAGAGCTTCTTGGCCTCTGGCACCATAGGGCGTCACGGGGCTGCAGGAGGTTCCACATGCTGGCAGTCGGAATGGAAGTGTGGGGCCTTGTTTTGTTGTAACTCTGGGCTGGTTCCCTTAACTGGATTCTTAATCTGGCCTCTTATGTACACATGCGACTATGTGTACTTTTAAAAGTTAGAGAACTTGGAAAAGCTGTTTAGCACATTTGTAGTTACAAATGGAAACAAACCACAACACTGACAGTTAGCAAAAAAGAAAAAAAAAACAAAACTGCGTTTTCATGATGGGTGCTAATTGGGCCCCACAGAGGTTGTCCAGTGACCTTGGTTCTGGGCAGCTCTCCTGGCCAAGTGTGAGGGGTGGACAATGTGAGCCTGTCTCGATCCCTTCAGAAAAGTATTTTTTACTCTCAGTAAAGTATATTTTTTGTCCTTTCCTATGAGCATGTTTCTGTTTTGGGTAATGTTCTCAGTGATTCAGAGTCACTGTCCCAACGTCCAGGCAATTAACCACCCTACATGTGACCATCACTCTTCATGAGACCTTGTGCTTACCTGAATGTCTACTCTGTCTGCCCAGCTGGAATGACGTGAGGCGATGTCTTCCTGGGGACCTCATTCTTGTCCAGTGGCACTTTGTGACAGAGAGCTGGGCTTGAGTTCTTCTCCAGGCTCCATGTCACTATCAGGCATTCTTAGAACCTCTCCCACATGGGGTGCTGGCGGGGACCGTCAAGTCGCAGGGCTTACTGGCAGGACTAGTCTCCTGGCGCCCCTGACTCCTAAGAGTGCTCAACAATCAATAAGTGTAGGTGTTTCTGCGTATGTTTTAAACTTGCCACCCAAAATCATATCTCTTAGAGAGAATATTTTCCACATACATCAGAATCGAAAAGAATGACTTTGTTTATGGAGTTTACCTGGTTGTTGAGGACTTCCTCTTTCTCCTTGGCTACTCAGGTTTTCTTTAGATACTCAAAATCAGAGAAAAACAGTTTTGTCCTATTGTGTTATTGACATGTTGATTTGAAGACATAAAAGATCATCTTAGCACTGATTTCCCTCCTGTGGTAATTGGACACAAATCCAACCAGGAAAGAAGATCCCTTGTCCCTCTTGGCTCTGGCATGTTCCCTGCCTCAGGTCTAGCTCTGATGCTGCCAGGTCACCCTCTTCTTTGAGGGTCTCACTGAGGAGCTTGCTGCTTTCTCTGTGTCGGCTTCTGTAGTTTGGGATTTCAGTCCTCCCCTAACTATGGGCAGAGAGGCCATGTCAACAGACACTCCTGACAACACATACTTTCCTCCAGGAATGACATCCTTACTCAGGTGTTCCATTTCTCTTGACAGAGGGTTTAAGAGATTTTGCTTGGTGTCAAAATTTTATTCAGTGTTTTTTATTTTGGCATCTTCTTGTATGACCTTGAGATTTTGTGTTCCTATGAATGACAGGAACAAATGAGAATCCCAGTTTTCCCATCATTCTTTCAAAGAGAGGGGCCAGAGAACATGATCCGTACTCTCTACAGAGTCACCAGCAAGTGGAAGTCCATGGCAGTCCTGTTCATAGTGCAAGGGACCACAGCAGACTAAAGAGCATAGACTTGAGAGTCATCACGCAGCAGTGGCGTGCCGGACAGCGGAGTATTGTCTAGACAGCCATTGTGTTAGTACAGACAAAATATATCTCTGCCTACTGACACAGAGAGTCCCTGTGACCTATTGTGTCATGGAAATAAATCCCCCATCCAAAAAAAAGGTATATAGCATTGATCCCTTTTTATTAAAAAAAAAAAAATTATACTTAAAAAACTGTCTGAAAGGACTGTCAAATATAGCTTCTTTTCTGTGTGGTGGCATTATAAGCATTTTTTAAACTTTCTTTTAATATTGTCTGAATTTTCATAATAAATATCTATTAATATTAACTTTTTTTTCCTGATTGAAAACATTTCTATTTTAAATAAAAAGAAGAGTGGGATTAATTGGTATTATCCACTGTTCTAAATATGGGAATCAGTTCTCAGCATTTGTACATGAATGGTTAACCATAGGTTTAAATGGAGCATTGAGACTCAGTCTTTAAACAATTGCCTCAAGGAGTTTATAAGTATATCAGAATTTAGCTGTCTGCCAAGAGTTGTTTAAATAAATGTTCCTTTATGTTCCAAGTAACTGATTTTACCTTTTTGATCACATAGGCACGGGCTACACCTTGGCAGATTATCTCTCTTTAATGGAACAAAAGTCTGAAAATGTATTAGGATTGAGGGAAGAAGATGAGTCTCTTCTTAGAATTACAAAATAGGACTGTTGAGGCTAAGTATTGGGAATATCGGCACTAAGTAACTTGGTGACACACCTAAAGAGACTGACAAAGCCGGCTGTGTTAAAATAGGCCCAGGTTTGTCTTTGTCAGGAGTGTTTACTCACACAGACATGGAAATGACTGTCATAGAACATGTGTACTCACAGGTCCATAGAAACTGGAGGTGGGCATGCAGGGCCACAGGGCAAGCACTGGGGATGAGGGGAAGACGCTGGAAGGGGTGAGTGAGGATTGGCTGCCAAGAGTCATTTCAGCGGGCTCTGGGCTGCAGGGGTGGTCCCCGGCTGTCCGGGACCTGGCCCTGGGTGATTGGGGCAGAGGAATTTTGCCTCCTGGCAGGTAAAAGCCAGATGGAGCAGGTGGTTCTGAGTGTGGGCACTAGATTCGTTGGTTGCATAGGAAAGTCATGCTCTAAGGCGAGTCATTTACTCTCCAGGAATTTCCCAACCCTGGGAGGGGCATTCTCTCCAGGAGCAGCAAGGCCCCAAGATGTCCAGGCATCATAAAATACAGAAAATAAAAAACTGAATACACTGACTAATCCATTCTGGGTGCATTTTGTTCAAGTCTCTTGGCAGGCCAGCAGTGCCAGGCATTTTGCCCAGGTGTGGACTTTAACAATTTTGTGTATCTCTCTCTCTGTTGAGGGCTTTCTGCAACAACATGTGTCTCCACTGAACTTGCATTTTTTTATGTTAGAAAAATAGTCCAGTATTTTTATTTTCGTTGAAAAGTGTCCCATGGATAATAAATTTGGACTCCTAAGTGATAGATATTAATGTTATTTCGATGGTCACAGTAGCAATTCCTGCTTCTTTCTACCTTAAAAGCCAAGCTAAAAATATATTGCCTTTAATCCCAGAAATCCCATTTTTGTAATACAGTATTCAACTTTTAAAAGATCAGAAAAGAACCCTAGAAAAACAGACAATTCTTGCGATAACAAAATGCGACTGATGGGGAATGTCACCCTCTCTCGCTCCCAGATAGAGTCTAGGGAGTTAAATGAAAGACACATCTAAATTTGTGACTCCAGTGCAGTTCTTTACATGAATGATCTCATCTTGCCTGATAAGCTCTGCCGGCTGTGGCGCCCAGTAAACATCCTCACCCTTCCCTGATGTTCATCCCCCTGCCCGGCTTCATTTCCTTTTACTCCTTCCATTTCCTGCAGACCCAAGAAGAACTCCAAGCTTCCGCTCCCTGCAGCAGGCAGTCTGAGCCAGACTCGGGTGCAGACTTGAGTGAGGAGGGGCCCTTGCGGTCCCACTCCCCCTGCACCAAAGGGAGAAGAGACACTGCAGCCAGGACCCTGCAGGCCCAGTGGAAAGTGTACAAACACAAGGTGAGGCTGCCTGGGGAGATCTGGGCACACACAGGAGTCGCTTGTCCAGCTACAGAAACATATTCGTACAGCCCACATTTACCTCTGACGTGCCTGGCTCTGTGCTAGGCACGGTTGACATGTAGAAAAGACAATATAATATAAAAATATAAAAATAATGCAGTATGAACAGCACTGGTGGAGGGAGAGGAGAGGGAGACCTGGAACCCCGGTGGTGGGACTCCCACTGGAGGGAGGGGGGCCTGGAGAATTCAGGGAAGGGCCACCTTTCAGCTAGTCCTTGAAGGATGAGCACATGGAAACAAGGCAGTGGCTTGTTCTGGAACGTGACCTGTCATACAGCACTGGGTGTCTCAGGAGGCTGGATGGGTCACACAGAGACTGACTCAGGTGTAACCCTGACCCACATTCTGGGAACGCTCCACTGTTGGCCTGAGCATAGGATTGGAGAGCTTAGGGGTACTTAGGTTGCTTGCTGTGAGAACAACTGTGGAAAATGTACATTGACAATAGTCAGCCCCTTTTCCGGGGTTCCCTGGGAGGAGGCAGCTTGAAAGAGTGGTCCTTCTCAGTAGGAGTATGAAAACCTACTTCTCAGCAGACACCAACTGTGACTAGTAGGCAGAAAGACCCCCATCCGAGCTAAGCACATATACATACCCCAGGCTTAGTGGCACTAGAGGGGCTGTACATCTTCACTGAGTTGCTTGGGGCATGGAGGTGAAGTGAGGTGACAGGGGAATGGGGCTCCTTCCCTAAGCTCCTGGAGTGGCTGTCTAGGGACATGTGCCACCAAGGGTTTAGTCCTTAAAGGATGGCATTCTCTTTATATGTTCTAAATGCTCTAATAAAAGATCTACCTAGGCCAGGCATAGTGGCTCATGCCTGTAATCCTAGCACTCTGGGAGGCCGAGGCAGGAGGATCCCTCAAGGTTAGGAGTTCAAAACCAGCCTGAGCAAGAGTGAGACCCCATCTCTACTAAAGAGAGAAAGAAATTAATTGGCCAACTAAAAATATATAGAAAAAATTAGCCTGGCATGGTGGTATATGCCTGTAGTCCCAGCTACTCAGGAGGCTGAGGCAGGAGGATCACTCGAGCCTAGGAGTTTGAGGTTGCTGTGAGCTAGTCTGACACCATGGCACTCTTGCCCGGGGCAACAGAGGTGAGACTCTGTCTCAAAAAAAAAGAAAAAAAATCTACCTAGTGTCTTTTCCCCCCTAGTTGACCAAACAAAATCTGTAGAGTTCACTATTTGCCTAAATATGATAAGATCTTAGAGCAAGGTGCGGTTGCTCACACCGGTAATCTTGGCACTTTGGGAGGCCAAAGCTGGAGAATTGCTTTAGAACAGTAGTTCAAGACCAGCCTGGGGAACATAGTGAGATCCTCTGTCTCTACAGCAAACAAAGAAATTAGCCAGGCGTGGTGGTACGTACCTGTAGTCCCAGCTACTCTGGAAGTTGAGGCAGGAGGATCACTTGAGCCCAGGAGTTTGAGGCTATAGTGAGCTGTGATGATGCCACTGCACTCAGCCTGGGGTGATAGAACAAGACTCTGTCTCGAAAAAAAAAAAGAAATTATTGGCTCACACACACATAAACAAAAGATCTTAGCTCCAACAGATTACCATTGGAGTTCTTTTTTAATCATTGTATCTTCCTAGCTTATATTATGAAAATTTTCAAAATGTACAGAAAAGTTTAAAGAATTTAGTATATTCAACAATGAACTCTACTCACTCTTTCCACCACTCTGATTCAACAATAGTTAACACTTAGCCATATTTCTTATATATATATATGTATATATATATATGATTTTTTTCCCAGAACTATTTGAAAGTAAATTTTAGACATTATGAAATGTCAGCATATGTCTTCTAAGAAAAAGAACATTCTTCTACTTAACCACAATACCATTATTGTACCTGGAAATTTAACAATAATTTTTTATCAGGATTTATAATATTTCTATTCACATTTCTCCAAATGTTCCAAGATGCCATTTATAGCTGTCTGTTTCATGCCAGGGTCCAGGCATTTTGGATGATGGTGCACACCCAGCCAAAGCCTTGTGTTCTGTGGTTTAAGTCTCCTTAGCATGGGTTACAGCAGCCCATGCCTTTTCTTCTTGTTAAAGACATTTTCTTTTCTTTTTTTTTTTTTTTTTTGAGACAGAGTCTCACTCTGTTGCCCAGGCTAGAGTGCCGTGGCATCAGCCTAGCTCACAGTAACCTCAAACTCCTGGGCCAGGCGTGGTGGCTCACACCTGTAATCCTAGCCCTCTGGGAGGCCGAGGCAGGTGGATTGCTCAAGGTCAGGAGTTCGAAACCAGCCTGAGTGAGACCCCCATCTCTACTATAAATAGAAAGAAATTAATTGGCCAACTAATATATATATAGAAAAAAAAAATAGCCAGGCATGGTGGCACATGTCTGTAGTCCCAGCTACTCGGGAGACTAAGGCAGTAGGGATTGTTTGAGCCCAGGAGTTTGAAGTTGCTGTGAGCTAGGCTGATGCCATGGCACTCACTCTAGCCTGGGCAACAAAGTGAGACTCTGTCTCAGAATAAAGAAACCTCAAACTCCTGGGCTCAAGCAATCCTTCTGCCTCAGCCTCCTGAGTAGCTGGGACTACAGGCATGCGCCACCATGTCTGGCTAATTTTTTCTATATATTTTTAGTTGGCCAATTAATTTCTTTCTATCTTTAGTAGAGATGGAGTCTCACCCTTGCTCAGGCTGGTTTTGAACTGCTTAACCTTGAGCGATCCTCCTGCCTCGGCCTCCCAGAGTGCTAGGATTACAGGCGTGAGCCACTGCACCCTGCCCTGACATTTTCTTTTTGAAGAGAACAGCCTGGTATCTTACAGAATGTTCTGTATCCTGGATCTGATTGTCTCCTTGTGATGTCATTTAACTCGTTACTGTGTCCCTTTTAGTTCCTATAAAAGTCTACAGGCTTGATTCAATTCAGGTTAAATGTTTTGGGCAAGAATCTCTCATATTGGGGCTGTGTAATACCACATCACCTCAAGACACAAGTGAGTTCAGCTTGTCCCCTTTGTGTTTCTAACTTTGATTGTTTAAGGTCATGGCTGCTAACTTGTGCCATTGTAAAGAAATAGTTTTCCCTTGGGAACTGTCCAGTAATCTGTAGAGGGTGAGCGTCCTGCCCCAGCCTTTCCCCTGGTGGGCTTTCACGTCCTTCACAGAGCCTTACTCAGGCAGTGATTTCAGATAGTTGCAGAAGGGTGGCTGTTGTCAAATTCCATCCTTCTCCCTAGCAGCTGTTCTCTTCTGTAAAGCAGGTTCCTTATTGGCAGGCACGACTCCAGCTCCTGGAAAGGCAGGTGAATGCTTAGCTCTTTCCCTACAAGTACTAAGTAGACCCTGGTTTCAGAGTAAGGAGACAAGTGAGTCTGTCTCTCTCTCTGTCTGTCTCTCTGTCTCTCTCTCTCTTTCTTTCTTTCTCTTTTTCAGGTGTGGGAGTATTACTATGGACTGAACATTTTTAATTTATTAAATCTTTTAAAATGAATTACAGTCCTTATTGTTTTTACTGTTCATATTATCCTGAATGTGGCCAAGCCAAGTGTGGTGGCTTGTGCCTGTAGTCCCAGCAACTCTGGAAGCTAAGGCGGGAGGATCCCTTGAGTGCAGGAGTTCAAGGCTAGCCTGGGCAACATAGTGAGACACATCTCAAAGTCAAAAAAAATATATAAAAAGTGGCCAAGCAGCCCTGTGCTTTCCTTTCCTGTGCCATTTCCAAGCCATTGGGTTTCCGGAAGCTATTTACCTACTTCTACACTTCTTTTCCTCTCACCTTTCTTCTGATCAACTCTTTGCTTAATTAAAGAGATAAAAGCAAGGTCAGTGCCGTGAGAGTGCTGCCCTCACCCAGGGCTCACTGTGCCCCACCCCTCCAGCTCACCACAGGCCCCAGCACCTCGGCCCTCTTGCCAACGCCATGTCCCTGTCTCCTGTGTGCAGCTTGAGCATGGCTGACCTCTCGTCTCACGGGAACTGAGTCTCTTCTATTTTCCCTTCAAGATTCTGTTTTAAAACAAATTCAAATGTGTGTGCTTCTGGGAAGATAGACTAATGCATTTGAAAGACCACCTGATTAGAAGTCAGGGTGCTGGGATTTAAGAGGTCTGGGGTCCTCCGTGTGTCCCTGTCCTCGTCTGCTCTCACCTCTCGGCTTCACGGTGGGGGTAGCTGGAGGCTTAGGTTCTCCAGGAAGACTGTGAGCTTGCTGGAGTCCCTTCAATCTGCTGTACACCCCACCTCCCAAAAAATAGCGAACCTAGGGAGGGAACCCCCAAATCCTAGCCAATACCATCAGTGCCCCGGGGGCATCTTGCTCTCGTTGGCTTTAGTCAGCACGTGTCCAGCGCACTGTGACTCACAAAGCCAGTTTCTGTGGGTAACCCCCAAATCCTGGCCAATAGCTGTCCTTACCTGGTATTTGATACTATCTTTGCCACAGTCTTTATTGCTACTTTTATTAAGTGTCTATTTCTTTGCTTCTGTTTTACATCCTGCTGGTCCTTATACTCAGTTTCCCTTCATCTCTCAAGGGACAGATCCTTTTACCATAACAAGTATGGCCACATACTCTGATCGATATTGAGAATCCCCTGGTGAATGTACGTGTCATCTAGCTGTGGTTGTTGAATGCCACTGAATGCACATTTATAATCTTAGCAGTCGCACCTTGGAGAGACTTCAGCTCCATTTACAGCCATAAAATGCACATGCTCAGGGCCTCTCCCTGATGACTGTGGTTCAGCAAATCTCGGCTGCGGCCTGAGAAACTTTTTCCTAAGGTCTCAGTGATTCTGATGACTATCCAACTTTGGAGGCCAGCAGTGCAGACCACTGCCTGGGGGTCCCTTCTGTAACATCTCCAGCAGGCAGTGTCCAACCTCTGAATTCTAGGACCCATCAGAGAGGGCATTTGCACCAGGATCACTTTATTTGTCAGAAAGGACCATCTCTCATTGAGCTAAGTGAGGTCCTCAGTGGCACAGGTTGGGCCTCATAGTGCCCTGCTGCATGGGGACTGTGCCGTTCACTGGGCGTACCTCCTGAGACTCTCTCTGTGGGATGTTGCCGTCCTGATTATGTTTCCTGCTCTCGTCATTGTTAATGGGTTTGGTTCCCTCAGCGTCAGCGAGGGCAGAGGAGGTAGCAGGGTGTGTGCATTCCCATGTTGACTTGTAGCAGATCAAGGTTAACCCTTGCCATGCTCATTCATACTTTATATCTTTATTTCAGAAAAGAAAAGCTGTTCTGGATGAGGTAAGTAAGATTTATTTTACCAATTTCAAAATACCTGTTTTTATGTTGCAACAGAGTATCTGAGGGGACGTTGAAAGATGTACCAATGCTCATTCTCATGAACTCAGGCAGAGACAGCACTGAGTGTTAGTGACGGAAGTGACCGAGACAGCAAGTAAACACATGGATAGCTTCACACTTTCATCCTCCCCACATGCTCCCTCACCCCAGTTCTGTGTCGAGCAGTCTGACACACATGGACACACAGGTGGACAGGTCATTACAGCCAGGATAGCAGCTGGTTTAGGGTTGCAAACAGGGCACTGTGGGGGCTGCTGGCCCCACATATGAAGGCCATGGGGACCCTGCCGGGGTGATGAGTGAGCTGGGTATCACAGGACGAGTAAGAAGTCACTGGATGAGAAGGCAGGGACAGGACATCCTGGGCAGAACTGGCAGGAGAAGGAGCAGTCTGTGTGACAGGCGTGGGGAGACTGGAACGAAAGTTACAGCAGTCTGGGACGTGCTACATATGACTGGCTAATGGAGTTGTGAACAGTCCAGTTCCAAGCCATGACCCTTGTTTAGTGAGGAGCTAAAAAGTAAAATCTTTATTCCGTTGAAGTCTTAAAGGCCTCTCGAGCTCGCCTCTTCTCTTGGCTCCTCGTGGGGCAACAGTGCATCTCCACGTGGACCCCCAGTCACTAAGAATGGGGTGGCTGCCACGCTTGTCACTCCACTGTCCTCTTCGTCTGGGCGCCATCCTCAATTTCAGAGCGGACCAGCCAGCCAGTCTCAAAACTCGTGGACTTTATGCTCTTCGGTCCAGACAGCCAGTAAACACGTGTGGTCAGTCTGCTGCTGGCCCCTGCAGGCTGTGGTCGCAGGGAGGGAATGTTGGTACTTGATGTCTGCGTGACAACAGCATGAGTGCCCTCCATCAGCAGGTTGCCAACTGCCCAGCTGGCCCACCAGACCCCCCTCAGGAAGGTCCTCCATATGCCACTATTCGTGTCCTCAGCCTCACCACCTTAGCTCTGCAGTGGCCACCTCTGTGCTGGCCTCTTGGTCCCTAGACCTGCTGCTTTCAGGTGGTCTCACCCCCAGCCACCTTGTCATCCGCCCCTGTGGTCACACCCTTGTCATTACCAGTGTACAGGGGCAGTTGCAGATCTCTCTCTGACGTCCTTTCCCGTCTTCTGGTTGCTCCTGTCCACCCAGGTACATGACTGAGGCAAAAATCTCATTCAGTCAAAGTTTATTAAACCAAGATTCTGAGGATGCACCTGGGAAAAATATACACCACAGACAAACTTGTAGGGACCTTCAGCGTTTTAAAAGCAACAAAGAGAAGGAAAAAGGCAGGGGGAGAGAGGGACTGATGAGGCAAAGTGGTTACATTCTTGTAAGGCCCAAGAAATCTACATTTTACATACAGTAAGGGAGTGAAGGAAGTATCCATTATGTAGCTGTGCCTGGGTGGGTGGAAGAATGTCTGGTTGCCTTGTCTCCGGTTCTGTTACTGTGAGATACACTTGTAATTCATTATCAGGGTGGAATGGAACAGGCTTTGGTTTTAGGTGCTGGACATAGCACAGTTTGCATGTTCTTGCTTCTGGAAGGTCAGTAAGGAATGTCCTCAATGAATGATCTATAGAGCCAGTTCTCACAGGTGCCTGAGGCTTTTACCTTCTCTTTAGCATAAGGAGATGGGGGCGGCCCTGAGACTTTGGTTTCCTTTTTAAGCTCCACTGCGCCCCCTACCTGCAGTTCTAAAACCCTCCCTTGCCCCAAAATCTCCCACCTTTTCCCCTTGCCATGCCCTGCTCAGGCCCCTCACCTCCCTGTTGCCAGCTGCAGCTCTAGCGTCCAGTGTCATCATTCCTGCCCCAGCCCCCATTATGCTCCCTAGAAAGACCCCATCCTTGAAGAAGTCCTGCCCCTGCCCTGCAGATGTACCTGGAGATGAGTGTGTGACTCATCTAGAGGCCCTCTGGTCAGTTCATCCCCAATCCCTGGAACAACCATGTTATACTTAACTCTCCTCAAATCTGTAACTCCTTCCACTCTCAGCTGACCACCTTGATTCTTGTCTTTCTGAGGAGCAGAAGCAGTGAAAAGAGAACTGCCACCACAGTGACACACCACTGCACACCACCAGGACAGCCATAACCAAACCCTGACAATAACAAGTCTCGGCGAGGGTGTGGAATCCGGGGGCATCACACATCTGGTGGGAATGTGAAATGGCTCGGCCACTGGGAAAACAGTTGGCAGCTCCCCCAAAAGTTAAGCAGCATTATCGTATGACCCAGAAATTCCATTCTTAGGTGTACACCCAAAGGAATTGAAAAGAGTTTTTCAGAACAAGCTTGTACACAAATGTTTACAGCAGCACTGTTCATAATAGCCAGAAAGTGGAGACAACACACACATCCTCAGCTAGTAAGTGGGGAAACAGAGTGATGTATCCATACAACTCTTTTTATGGCTGTTTTTCAGCCATAAAAAGGAACCAATGTGGATGAACCTTGAAAACATAATGCTAAGTGAAAGAAGCCTGACTCAAAAGGCCATATATCGTATGATTCACTGATACGAAGTGTCTGGAATAGATAATTCCATAGAGACATGACAACCCAAAATAAATGACTGAGGCAGAGAACTCAATCCATGGAGGTTTGTTGAGGCAAAGTTGAGGATGTGCCTAGGAAAAACACAGACCACAGGCAAATCTGGGGCTATTTTTCCAAAGGAGAGTTTAGGAGCTTCAGTATTTAAGGGAGTTGAGGGGAGCAATAAGGCAAGTTACATTCTCATGAGGCCCAGGAAATCTACATTTTACATAAGATGAGGCCATTGTTAGAATAGAAAAAGGGAGTGGAGGAAGCATAATTACATAGCCCTGGGTAGGTGGAACAGTGCTTGATCCTGTCTTGTCTCTGTTCTGCACCTGGAAAGGTGAGCTTGTAGTTCATTATTAGTGTGGAATCGAGCAGACTTCAGTTTCAGGAGCTAGGCATAGCCTGTGGACTGACGTGACAGTGTGCTGTCCTTGCTCATGGGAGGCCAGCTCTTCACATGCGCCCGAGGCCTTTTCTTTCCCTTTTGCATTGGAGTTGTAGGAAGTGGTCCTGAGATTTTTATTTTCCTTTACAGACTAGTGGTAAAGGTTAGTGGTTACCAGAGGCTGGGGACAGCTAGTGAGGGACAGGGTTGCCATTCTGGGTTATGAAAAAGTTGTGGAACTAGACAGTGGTGATGGTCATGCAACATAGTGAATGTAGTTATTGCCACTGAATTGTACACTTGAAAATAGTTAAAATGGGAAATTTGATGTCTGTTTTACCACAGTAGAAAAAAGTAAAATATGGAGAGAGACCTCCCTCGTTCTCCTCTCACTGCCAAATCTGCTTGTCTCCTGTTAAAATAAATGCCTTTTCATGCACTTACCCAAAGCTGATACCTCCCCAGGGCTCTAGAGCCCTCTCTGCCCATGTAGCCTGGGCCCTGCTCACCCTTCCCCAGCATTCCTGGAAAGTTCCGTGCATGTTCCTGCCACAGGACCTCTTACACTTGCTGCCCCTCTGCCTAGAAGGCTGTTTCTCCAGATGTCTGTCCTGCCCCCAGCTTTATCAAGGTCTCTGCTGGAACAGTGCCTCCTCAGAGACCCTTCTCTGCACACCCCACACCCTCACCCCTCTCCAGCCCCAGGCCTGATGGGTTTTCCTTCCCCGCATTTATCCCCCATCTGACATCGTGGTTGTTGTCATTGTCCCATCAGCTGTAAGTTCTGTGGAGGCAGGACCGGCTCCGTCTTTCCCACTGTATCCCTGCCTCCTAGACTAGTGCCTGCATGTGGTGCATAGGTCTAGACTCCTCGGTGGGCTGCACACCACGTGTAAACAGCAGGCGCCACCTGCCGCTCTTGCTTTGCCTCCCCAGTGCCCTGCCCTCCGCTCGGAGGGAAGTATGACGGCGAGACTGACTGTGGGGCTGTCGTGACGGTTGGGTCAGACAGTGTGTGCAGAGTGTGTGGCACGGGGGAAACTCACCCCTTGCTGTGGGTTTCTCCTGCTTTGGGTGGTGTGATTTCGGCAGCCGTCGCCCCTCCTGTGAGGCCACGCTGTAACTGGCAGCAGCTTTCCTGGAAGCCTTCTGGGTTAATCTAGATGATCTCCGTACTTCCCGTGGGTTGTTTTCCTTACCCACTGATGTTGTCTCACCTTCCTTTGGTGTACTTGTTTCTTAACCTTACGTTTGTGACATTTCCTTCATTTTGCCTTCAAAAAACACAAAGGTGTTCTCTTCCTTTGACAGTCACTATGGACACGCTGGAGACCTCTGAGCCCACGTTGTGTGTGCTCGTGGGCCTGTTGTTCTCTCAAAATGCCTGAGAGCTGTAAGGCTCCTGCCGAATTGTGATGGCTTTCACCAAGGCTAGAGGCCGATATCATAGAGAAAAGAGTGCTTCCCCTGAACACAGAGCATTGACTTCAGAACTTATGTGGCTCCCATCCACGCATACTTCTTAAGAAAATATTTAAGATTAAGGTCAAAGCATAAATAATTCCCATAAGGGAATTATTATCTTATCATAAGATCATTGTAGAGATCTTTCTCTACCCTGCTTGATTTTAGAAGATGTATATGGAAAATAGATGAAACAGAATAAACTATTCCAACGTGGAATAAACTACCCCATTGTGAAAACATAACTATGTGTAAAATATGATTAATATCAGCAGCTAAATATGATTGTGTTTGACAGCTGGCTCATACACATTCTAGGACTCAGTTTACTGTGGCTTCAGACATCTGTGCCTTCACCCTAGAGGATTAGTTTATTTCTCACCAGGGGAGATTGGGATGAGTGAAAGAAAGAAAGCCTCTTTTGGAGACTCCTGTGATTGTGCAGTAATGAGAGAAGTTGTGTTCTCTGTTGCTGCAGCTCTTCCCTCTGGAATCTCCTCAGTCTCACCTGCCATTGCCCAGGAATTCATATCTCTTTTCTTTCCCTCCTTTCCCTGCCAGGCGGCTGTAGTGCTTCAGGCAGCTTTCAGGGGACATCTGGCTCGGGCAAAGCTCTCACCAAGCAAAGCATGTGACTCAGAGTCTTCCAGCATGCCCAGCCTCCCAAATCAGGTAACCGGGAGGCGCTGGACACAAGCCTAGGAATTCTCTCTCCATTACTTCTTCTCTTAAACCTTACAGACCAGGAAAGCACGAGGCGCTTTAGAGCCTTCGGGCCTCCCTTGCCCAGCAGGTGTGCCCTGTCCCCCAACCTCTGCCCACTCGGCCAGGCAGCTGCACCACTTGGCAGGCCCTGGATAGCTTTTGCTTTAGAGGCCGGATTGCTTTGAAGGGCTAAAGAAGCAAGCACCATGTCTGTCTCGCACTGAGGGCAGCTTTAAAGCTAATCAAGATAGATGCTTCCCATGTCAGCCCCTCCTCTGTTAAAAAAAAAGGACGAGATGTTTGCTTTAAGACTCTCTAGAGTTTAAAAGTTAAGAGCGTGCGATCAGGAGGTTGCTAACTAACCAGCAGTAATGGGGGTGGCAGTGCCTGAAAGGGAAACTGCTCTTACGGCTCCCTGATGCCAAGGGGGCCGCGGGGGCCACTCTCTGGAAGCGACAGAGTGTTACCCAGTGGTTCTCTTCCCTGCTGTCGCCACGCCCCAGAGCTCTCCCACATCCCGCATTCCGAGCCCCATTGCCCAGGCCGAGGGCAGCTCCAGGCAAGAGGAAGCCATCACTGTCATCCAGTCCGCCCTCCGGGCACATCTGGCCCGGGCCAGTCACAGGTGAGCTGGGGTCACAGGACACCTCTGTTCTGTGTCACAGGGGAATACACAGCACAGACCCTGTGCGGGAGGCTGCCCACTGCAGGGTCAGCCTGTGCACCGGATGTGGGGGTGTAATGGTGAGGTGGGTGAGCTGCAGCACAGGTGTGGGGTGGGCCATGTGTTCTCATCCTCAGGAAGACGTCTTTCTAGAGTCATTTCTCCATACTGGGAGAAAACAAACAGAAGGGTTTAGATGCCATATAGTTCAGGTAGCCATCAGTTTGTGGCCTGGCTATTATTGGCTTGTGCTAACACAGTGTCAGCTTTTAAAGAAGAATGTGATGTGATCCCAGTGTTCAGTGAAATGCAGGTGTCATCAGAGGCCTTTCCACAGGAGCTCACGCTGGTCCTAAACAGTGACTCTCTTGCTGGAACTCCCAGTATGTGCATTGGGAGCCTCTTGGTTACAAATATCAGAAGCCCTCTAAGTCAACTTGGGCAAAGGCTGGAGTTCGTAGTAAGGCGAAACAATGGTCCTGCCGCCTGCCTCACCGCACACTGGGCTCCTCCTCCCTCTTGCCCCAACTCCTCAGTCTGCGTGGCAGAGAGCGGCAGCACCTGTTTCTTTTGAGTCTGCGTCTCGTGGTCCTGATTCCATATGACCTGGGATGGGCCAAGGGGCTCAGCTGAGTAGGGGACCCTTCCCTGAGCAGTCAGCCATGGCCAGGAGCTGGAGGGCATGGGGCAGCTGGCCCTACCCAGAGACAAGAAGGGGAAGGAAGCGTCTGCAGCCAGCTTGTGGAAACCATGCCGGCCCCACCTCAGCCTGTGCCCTGAGGAGAGGGACAGAGGACACGTCTCTTCACAGCCAGCCTGTTTCAGCTGGGCATGACTGGGGTACAGGGCTGGCCATGTGTTTGCTTTTATTGGGATAGTTCCCCCAGGCAAATTGGTGAGCCCTTCCTCAGAGAGGTTTGGATTCTTTAAAGTGCGAATCAGCTGGAGTTTCCATCTTTTTTCCAGTGCTACCAGCAATGGAACCACCACCGCAGCTTGTGCTGATAGGCCTGCTTCAGCCACACCCAAGGAAACCTCCTCTCCACCCTTCCTTGCAGCTCCTCCTGGTAATTTCCCTCATTTTAGATTCTGACAGGGGGCAGATGGCCCTCTAAGGGTTACACCAAAAGGGTGGCCACCTTCCAGGGACTCGGCCGTGATGTGAGGGAGGTTTGTTTCCCCAGCAGCTGCCCCTGAACGAAGTAACACTTTACGCCAAACGCCAGGAAGACCCTTGACCAGGCCTCCTTGTCCCAGCTGGTCCCTGTCTCTGGGACTGTAGAGGACAGAGAAGAGCCCAAGGGACTCCGTGAACTTGGCAGGCTGGAGACAGGTCTCCTGTCCATGGCCTCCAGGCCACACACTCTCAGCTTCCCATACTTTGTGTCTTTATTTTCATTGTCAGCTCTAGCTAGAGCAAGGTGGCTGCCTCCCTTGGGCCATTGTTTCTGCTTTTGGTTTGTGTTTTAAGTAAAACTTTGCTCATATTTCCCTTTCTGCTTCATTAAAGTCCAGACACTGAGAGAAGAAATCCTGGGACTGACGGGGTGCTGCCCCGGAGCTGTGAGACCCCTGCTCCGCCCCGACACTATGTGTGTTCCCCAACAGGTCCCTGCCTTTCTCTGGGCTCAGTCACTTCCTGTGCAAAGTAGAGAATGGGGCCAGCAGCTGGAAAGTCACCCTCGGCCCCCAAAATCTATGATGCTGTGCACGTGCTCCAGACTCTGTCTCGCACTGCGGTGGAAAAGCCCTCGGAAGCACGGGCTCGCTGTGCCTGTTACTGTAACACTAAGGATGAGCAGGAAGGCGCTGCTTTTGAGAATTGGGGACTGTCATTAGATGGACAAGTGTAGTCTTGAGATTTTAGGTACGAATATGGCACACAGAGTGCCATGTTATCAGACCTTCCTTGGGACAGTTTCAAACAGAGGACTTTATTAAGTCCTTAGGTCCCAGAGATGGAGTCAGGGAAGGACCACAAAAGGAGGCTGTCTTTCTGCACTACAAGTGTCAGGGTGAGAAAGACGGTGGGTGAAGGGTTGTGCGGAACGGCCGCTTCAGTTTTCTGTCCCTTCAGGGAAGGAGGACAGCGAAGCCAGCAGTGGGGAGGCTACAGGGACGAGGACGGGCCAGGGGAGCCGGTAGTCCCAAGGCCCTTCCCTGGTGAGTGTGGGGGCAATGGCAGGCAGAGGTCTCGCCTTCCAAAGGGTCACAGGTTAGGAAAGAGGCCATGACCCCAGCCCGCCTCAGACCCCACAGACTGAATGCCCTTGGGGACCCTTTTCAGTGCTGGACACGACCCCTTCCCTTCCCAAGGGAGCCAGTTAGGGGATGTGTTTTGGAGCATCTCTTACACGAGCTAAGAATGAATGTTATACCATGTTTGACCTGGAAATTGTCACATCTGAAATTGCATTTTATCCATTTCAGTCATTTTTTTTTCTAGCTTTGTCAGAGCTAGAAAACTTTGAACTTTGATATTCTCTCCAAAAGCTCCATTTGTAAAGCTCAACAAAGATTAGCAGCTCTGGGATTTAAGGGGAAGATGTGCAGACCCGCAAAGCCTGGGAGGCCGTGGGCTGTCCTGTGACTCTCGGGCTCCCCAGAAGGATTTAAATTGTTCTCCAAAATCCCAGCTCCTGCTGATTTCACTAGACCCTGTGTTCGGTGACCTTTAGATCTGGGGCTACAGTGTTTATTTATGCTGCCCTTTTCTGCTCTTGTTAAATGTAAGTTGTTTAAAGGGGCAGATTCATCCTCCTGCCTAATGTATCACCACAGAATGCATCTAGGTATTTAGCTCTTACTGACCTAAGGAAACAGGTCTATGTGAAATGTGTAAATCAAGCCCTTATTTGAGCTGATTGTGTTTTTAAAGAAAAAGAGGAAGATAAACACTTTCTGGTGTTTTTAATTTCTTAAGTTTCCACATTAGTACTTTTTCAAAAGTTGCAGGAAAAAAGCTGATGCAGTTATAATATCTGCAGCACAGAACTTCCCTTTTTAAAAATCTTAAATCAGTGATTGACACTTTTTTATTTCCATCTTTGAAGCAGCAGGCATCAGGCTCTTCCCAGGAGACTTGGGCTGCAGAGTGGTAGCAACCTGCTCCTCCCTCAGGACTGGCTTCCAGTCCACAGTGGCCACATGGTGGCGCCCGTCCATGTCCAGTCTTTAGGTGGTATCTCATTCTAGCATAGATGAAAAGTTTGGAAAAGTTGAGATGTGTATGAAGAAAGTAGTATAAATGGAGTGGCTGGAAAGTTTGAAAACTCGCAGCTGTCATTGGCATTGCCTTTCCCATCCTGCCTTCCCCACCGCATGGCATGCCATCCAGGAGCTGGTGCATTTAACTTGGAGACTGGCTGTGACACTCACAGGTGGGCCAGCCACCCACCACGCCCAGACTCCTGGGATGATGCTGTGAGAGTGACTTTAAGGGAATCCTCCAGCACAAGCTCAAGCTTCCTCACTGCTGGCAAATCTTTACCTTTTGCAGGTTTTTTGATTTGGGGAAATGCCCAAAATATTCAGAGCTGCAGTTGAAGACTAGGAAAAAATGAGAGGGCTTTCTGGCATAGTGTGTAAGTTGATTCTGAAGGTCTGGCCCGTGGCTTCCTACTTCTGGGTGTGGCCTCCGTCTCACCTGCTGGGGAAGGGCGGACGGTGTGAGCATGTCTGTGGCTGGTGGCCCTGACAATGGCCCCCAGCCCAGCGGTGGTGTGGCTGACCTCCCTGTGGTTCGTTTCAGCAGCGCCCTCTCCCTCCCGGCCCCCGGTGCCTCCACCCGTGGATGACGTCAACTCCGATGACTCCGATGACGTGGTCATCGCCCCACCTCTGTTTGTGAGGAAGAGTTCTTCCCCGGTCTAGGTCCCCAGCCATCTTCTCCACATGGCCATGGCTGTCGGGGGTAGGTTAGAGTTAAAAGGACAAAGCCTATTCTAGAGGACAGACATAATAACCAAAGTTGGAAAGATAGTGTATCTTGTTAGGAAAAGAACAATACCTACGAACACCTGGACGTCTGCACTGGTTTTTCTCTTTTTGCATTTTTGTTTGCTTAAGGAATCCAGAATGCCTTTATTTTGTTCTTTGGGGAGAGCCAAGTGGTCATATCTCTCCCTCACCTTTGGATGTGGTTCAGAGGGTGCTTTTTTGGTGCCGACAGACACATCTACCCTGAACTGGGGGCAACCAGGGAGCCCTGCAAAGACACGTTCTTTTATAGCAACTTACAGCCTGCCCTTGACCTTGGCCTGTGAGGATCCGCCTTACGAGGAGCCAGCACCACACCACTCTCCTCATGCTCCACCAGCATCTGCTCCAACCTCAGCCCCTCCTGGCCAAGCAGATATGCCCTGCTGTGCCCTTTGGAAGAGCAGCCATGAGACAGGCTTCCCTCATCCCTACAACAAAATGCAGCTTCCAAAGGCTAAGAGAGGCTGAAGATACTTGTGTCCCCAGATGAGCCCCTTCCCTTCACCACACAGTCCATTCTTCTGTCCCCAACCCCTGGGTACAGCCTTGAGAGCTGCTGTTCCTAGGAAGGAGTCTGGGCAGAAGTTTGTCACTGGGTAGACTCAGACTTTGAAAATTCCAGGTTATAATCACAAAAGCAGCATTACACTTGGCTTTGAAATAAACATCAGGGGAAAGGCTGTCCCAAGCAGGTGGCAGGTGCTTTGGCCTCTGCAGGTGCCCAAGGGGAAGAGGAAGAGAGGAGGGCAGGGAGGGCAGCTGTCACTCCAAAGGAGAGCAGAGCCTCTCGTGGCACACTTCATTCTGTGTCTCGGGACACCCTTGATGTGTGGTGGCCTCTGTACAGGCCACAGGCTCCACAGCCGGACATACTGATCATTCAGAAGCCGGCAGCTGCAGCTGTTTGCAATGGAGTTCCTGTTAGGAGCTCAGAGTTTTGGTCCCTTGCCTGTTTGTAAGATTAGCCCTTGCTGGTGAGTAGAAGAGCCTGGATCGGGCAGGACAGGACTGCAGGGGCATGTAGACCCCTATGCAGCCAGGTCTGGTGTCTGAATCTCCCTGCAGAATCCCAGCCAGGATGGACCAGCCTCAGCTTGAGCTGCTCAGGACCTGAGAGCCCCTCTGTCCTGCACCAGGTCGTCCATCTTAGGAGAGAGCCGACGTCGGAAAGCTCTCTTAGACTGAACCGATGGATTCTCACAAGGGTGCTGCCCACCCTTCGGTGCCTCCTCTTCCCCAATAGAACACCTGATCCTCTTCAACATGGTGGCCTTCTCATGTCAACCTCAGGGGACATCAGGCTGAACTTGAGACCTCCACGGTGGTCAGAGGCTGCTGGCTCCAACACAGCGAGGCTCTGGCCAGGAGCAGGGAGCTTGGCATTGTCCACCTGCCACATGGGAGGACGGGGGGTTCTGCCCAGCCCTGGGATTGGGCCACACAGAGTACAAGGACCTGCATCACCCTGTGGTTCACTTGTGGCCTTTTCTCCACTTAGACTTTTGTTCACACAGTGGGCCAGGAGCCTGGCCTGTTTATCTTTTTTCCTTATTTGGACCATGGGCTGCCAAATCAGTTTTCCATTTTTCTTTAAAATTGAACTGATTGGTAACATAACTGATTCCTAAGTGACAGAGCCTTGTGTGGACCCTTGCCTCATTCCATCCACATGGGTCTGTCTCCTCTCCAACCCCCTGTTGCAGGTTCAAGGCTACAGGTCTGTAGGAGCCACTTTACCTGTGAAGCACCAAGAGGGTGATGCAGGTTCCTGCACATTCAGTGGGGTGGGGGCCTTGATTCTGTCCCTCTCTCTCCCTCAGTTTCTCATCATGTGCTCACTCTGAGGAACTGGTGGCCTAGAGTTCTGGGTCATAGATGTTGAGGGAAGATCATCACCATCAGGGACGTCCCTGCTTCAGGAGAGGGTGCTGGGGGCAGGAGGCACCGGGGCAGGTTCCACGTGATATCCAACCGCCATCCTGTACCCAAGACTGTAGGGGCCTGGCCAACGGGCAGAGCTGAAAACAAAGTCAAAGTCAGACAATGCACTTAACTTTTCCAAGAAAATGGCCCTGAGAATTGTAAATATGTAAATTTTCCTATTTGTCCTCTTTTGGTGCAGCACTGTTTATCTATTAAAAGCAAACGTTCTATCTTGAAGCTACCTCAGTAAATGACAATACCTCAAGCCTGTGTCTCTAGCTAATGTTGAGTGTCCAGTGCTGGCCATCCAGGCCCCTGTGCTGGGGCAGCCTGCCCAGCTGCTGTGTGACCCACCCCCACAACACTGTGTGTGGTTTTGTTCCACGGAGAAAGCACCAGGTGGAGAGGTACGCTTGCAGGGTGCCCTAGGGAACCCCTATTGGCTCAGCAGGAAGGGGAAAGGAGCCCCTAGAGTGGGCACCCAGCGAGAAAGTCAGGTGTGAACTCCACCTTCCATGTCGGTATTACTCTGCAGGACAGGCCCCTCTTCCTGTGCTTGCCCACGGAGGAGCGGGTACCCACACCAGGCCTGCCAGCTGGAGCCGTGGGCGGGCTGGGGACAGTGGCAAGACAGCCCTGGGGAGACTGGACCAGGGAGTGAGTCCAACAGACAGACCGCCTTCGGTGCTAAGAGCCAAAACAGGCCCAGGTGTGTGCACTTCAGGTAGCGGTTGAGTGGCATGTGTCACTCGTTCTGCCCTGATTTTCACAGCAACACCTTGAACTTAAGAACGGTAGTGAAACTTTACCTGCTGACAAGGGATGTTAGTAGTCCAAATTTTAAAAAGCACACTGTTTCCCCATCCCATGCCCAATAAACAAGCAGTCACAGAAGATGTGGAAGTCTCCCTGAACCTGGCCCAGCTGTGTTGGCAGCAGCCCCACCCGTTGATGCTGCTGAAGTTGGCCTCTGAGAAGGCGTGGCAGCTGCAGGTGCACCTGACCAGGGGTGCATAGAGGCCTGTCCCCGCCGCTCACTGCTGCTCCAGCACAGGCACGGTCTGGAGGTCTCTGGGGCATCCTGGAGATGCACGGAGGCTGGCATGGCATGGGCCACAGCCCTTGTGGCACCTTGCTGGTTGCTGCTTGCCCTGCATGTGCTGCTCTCCCAGCACGGAGAAAGAGGATACCCCAGGCTCAGAAGCCAGGACAGACTCTTCTGAAGATGCCAGGCAGTGCCACAGCCCCCCTGCATCCCTTGGTCACATCTCTCACCAGAGCAGCTGAGGAGAAAGTGCAGGAGGGGCTGGGACCAGCCAGGCCACTGGAAACAGCAAAAAGGAGGCAGAGTGAGGTGTGCGTGCCCAGGGCACAAAGCAGGCGGCAGATGCCGTGGGAGTTTCCATGCAGGGGGAGCCCAGAAAGAAGCATGCCACTCTCTGCTGGTGGGGAGAGGGCTTGAGTGGCCCACTGAGGGAGGTGGGGCCAGAGAAGACTGCCAGGACCACAGTCCCTTAGGCTTCACATGGTGACCCGACTTGGAGACAAGGAGACAAAAGCCAACCAGGGCTAAATTCCAACCTACAGGGCAGCTTGCTGTAGTGGGGTTTTGCTCATTCTTCTGTGTATCAAGAAGGGACTCAGTGACACAGTCGATGGCCCTGCCCACCTGTGCTGGTGTCTTCTGTCTGATGAATATCTATTTTTGTCTCCTGACAAGGGAAGTTAGGACTGTGCTCTCTGTCCATCAGATGGACCAGAAACCTGCCTTGCAAAAAGACCAGCTGAGTTAGGAAAAGATAGACCAAGTTAGCTAACATCTACCAAGATGAGTACAGCAGAACTTTGCTTCAGTTTTCAGAAATAAATAGCTTCTGGGGAAAGCACCAACAACCTTCAAGATCTGAATAAAAAATCTGTTATAACCTGTCTTAACTAATTACAAGATCCCTCTTTGGTTTTGGAAGCAGTGTTTGCCCTCCTGTGGCTCCGAGATCCTCTGAAGACCAGGGAGTCAACACTTAGCCCTGCCGTGGGTTGGGCCTGCTCTCTTTTAGGGCTGCCACCTCAGCAAGGTCCCAGGGGCCTGCTGGCAGCGATGACACCGTGCCAGCTACCCTGTCTAGCCTGGACCATGCTGGATAAGTGTCCTTAAAAGCAAGAGAAATTATATCTGGAAGCTGAAATGTGAGACTATCAAGACGGGTTAGAGGAAGGAGTTGATCCACTGGTCTTTGGCACTTTTACATTTAGAATTATTCTACTTTTACACATAATTTATACACAAAGCTTTTGGGAGGGATGAGGTTTTCATTCCTGCACTACTCCTTATTGGCCTTTGTCAATAAAAAGTTGTTGTGCAGGGTATTTGTCCCGATTACCCGCAGAGCCTTCACTTGTAACAATTTCCAGGTGTGCTGTGCTGTGGCTCTTGCTGCACAAACACCACGTGCGGTCGGTCTGCTGCAGAAACCCCGGTCCTCTTGGGTTTCTGGCGTTTTGCCTTGGCCGTAGTGCAGGCTCAGGATCGAGGCAGCTGGAGGGAAGGAATCCGACTGCCAGCTCCCTGCCATGCGTGAGTTCCGATGCATCTGCTAACACCCAGGCCCTCTTTGAATTTCTGTTCCTTGGACACAAGCAAGGACTTGAGCACCAAGAAAGAAAAATGTGTGTACAAAAATTTCTTCAAATTTTATTTAATTTTTGTTTCAGGAGCAGGCAAGGAATAATTTACTTAGGAATCAAACACAGATGGTAATGACAAAAAACCAGAGTTGATATCTGGGTTTGTTTTCCAATATTTTGTTACACAAAACAAGGTGCATCTGTGGCCTTGTTTCTGTATGGCTGCCTGCCCTGGGCCCTTAAATCCCAAGTTGAGTTTGTCTGAAGTCCTTACACATACTTGTACGTGGGCTCCGGCATTCTCCCAAGCCCGTCCTCATACGCCGGTCACCTGTGTCATGTTGGCAAATGGTTCATTTGGAAACTTTTGCTTGCAGAGGAGCTGGCACAGCCTTAAGGGGCCCATGACAGCGGAGAGCACAGTGCATCGGACACTTGACCCCAGCCACAAGCCTGCTGCCACCAACTGTGGCCTCTGTGTGAGGCTCAGGTCTAGGAGCAGAGGAGGCAGCCAAGGAGGCTTCTCAGCTGTAACTGGCAAGAGAAGAGAGACGGTCCAACCTCGGGCCTCCACCCAGCCTTGGCTTGGGGATGAGTAAATGTGTGAATACCTAAATGTATATGTCCACACTTATATGCACAGACACACAGACAGAGTCCCCCGCCGCCCCCCAATCCCGCCACTGGATTTTGATGTTCTCAGGCGTTCTCAGTTTACAGGCAGAGCCAGCTTGGCCAGGAAGGAGCACGTCAGCCTCCTTAAAGACCAGGTGGGAGTCACCCCAGGTCCTTGCCAAGATAATTTTAAATATGACATTCCTCCAGGGTCCCCAGGGGACAGAGAAAAAACCAGCAAGTATCTGAATCCCTCCCTTTTAGCACTGCTGTTGGGTTCAGAATGTGAATGAGGAGGCTGAGGCGCAGGTTGGCGGCTTTTCGTGGGAGCCAGCGAATGGCCTTCGGCCAGCTTCCCTTCGGCCCATTAGACGGTGCCTGCCTGAGGAACGGGGAGAAGTTTCCATGGTGCTGTGTCCCTTTCTGAACAAGGGGAGGGGTGTCCCTGAGCAATAATTAAGCCCCAGAAAGCCTGGGATTCAGAGCAGAGTCCAGTGTGCACTGGGGCTGCCACCCACATGGCCTGGGCTGGGGCTTTCTTCCAGCCCTTCCATCCAGGCCCAGCTTCCAGAGGAATGAAAGCAGGGAAGGTGCAAGTGGGTGGGCTGGGGGCACAGCTCACAGAAAATGCAATTAGGGGCTGGTTCCTGCTGACAGTGCCTCACCCACACATTCCCTCTAGGCTGGCTTCCTCTCCTCCCCCCCCCCCAGTGCCTTCTCTGCAGCATCTTACCACTCACCTCCCTGCCTTCCGGATTTCCTCCTAGCCCTCTGGCCCTCAGCCCCTTCCTCTGCCTCTGTTAAAAGTGGGTGCCCCCAGGGGTCCATCCTCAACACCCTGACCTGCCTGTCCCTCTAAGTATTGTGTGTGTCTCAGATGCTTCTTCTTTTTTTTTATTTTAGCGTATTATGGGGGTACAAGTGTTAAGGTTACATATATTGCCCATGCCCCCCCTCAAGTCAGAGCCTCAAGCATGACCATCCTCCAAATGTTGCACATCTCACTCATTGTGTTTGTATATACCCATCCCCTCCTCCTCCCTCCCACTGGCCCGACACCCGACTCAAATGCTTCTAATTCAGCTTGTCCTGGCACCTCCAACCCTGCTCCTGTCCAGTGAACGACATCACAAGCCATGTTGTTGTCCCTGATAGAAACCTGGAGGTTATCCCTGCCTGCCTCACCTTCTGAGCCATCCAGCAGTCACCAGCACCCCTGGGGCTAACTCCTGAGCAGCCCTCAGCTCTGCTGCAATGGCCGGGTGCCCCACCCAGGGCAAGACCCAACTGCTGAACATGCATACCACTGCATACAAACACACATGCACACAAAAACACATGTACAAACATACACAGAAACACTCAAACACAATGCAAACATACACAAAAACATGCGTGCATAAACATACACAAATGCATGCACACATGCAAACACATGCACACATGAAAAAACATGCAAATACAACTTGCATGCACACAAATGTATACACAAACCCACATACACATATGCACACATGCGTGCACACACAAACACATGCACACACAAATACACACTTTCGATGCCCCTGCCTGAGCTACAGTGAGTCTCCTTCACTTTTCCAAAGACGAGATGGGGAAAAAAGGAAACATCTGGCCAACTTGAAAATGTGGAATTTTTTATAGGTGTGGATGAAATTGTCAAATGCCAACTTGTTAATAATTCATTTGTTAATTTGGTCATCCATCATACATATTTAAAATATCTAAAATAAGACAGTGATCTAGAAATACTCCACTGTCGGAGCTCACAGGCGCCTGCTGCATTCGCACCTTTGTCACCACATTTTGAGTCCTCTAACGCAGTTTTCAGTACTTGTCACCTCGGCTTCCATCTAAGCTGTTTGAGGTCCGTATGGTCATTTAAAACCTGTACAGGACATGCTGTCACTGGAACTTGCTTCCCTAGTCACAAGTGTGCACAACTCCAGGACACAGGTGGTGGTGGTCATAGTTTTATGTTCACATTTCCACAGCGTAACCACAGGC